AAACATAAAATTGAGATGATTAAAAGAATTAAATTTAAATGTACCGATAATTTTTTTAAAAATACACTATCGTCTAATCTTAAATTACCGTACAAAAAACCGTTGATTTATGTAATAATTAATATGCAATTTATATTCATAATTTATTTTTAATTTGTTAAAAATGTAATTTTTTTACTGTGCATAAAATTAATGTAAATTTATGCGGACCTTAAAAAAAATTCCCTTTACTCTGACTAGAATTAAAGATTCAATGGCTTTTACACTTAAACATTTCTAATTAATAAATACAAAATAAATATTTGTATTCATTACGTTATATTTAGTTAAAGCAAAATTTATTAAAATTATGTTATGGTAGGAATAATTTAATCTATCTATCCAAACAAAAAATCTATAAATAAAGAAATGAAATTGAAATAATTGAATTTTACAAATTTAAATTAACTATTATTAAAAAAATTATACAAAAAAAAAAACAGTAATTATAAGTTTTTAATTTTTTATAAAAATATTTGAAAATAAAAACAATATTTTTGTAATTAGAACTTAAAAATAAAAATTTTAGAAACAAAACAATGTCCAAAATTTTCAATTACATAATCCAAACACAGTTTAGTGTTACTTTTTCAATTTTAGTTGAGTTTGTACCGCAAAGAAAATGGAGAATTTGTATTTTGTATAAAAAAAATTGTTTTTTTTTTTCTGTTTTTATTGTTTTTTATACACATTTTGAAAACAAAAATAAAACATATATTTTTAATTAAAATATATTTTTTACGCCAAATAGGTTTTATTTATTCAGTGATATCATTTTCAAAGTCTTAACGATCATATTAGTGGTGCGAGAGCAATAATTGGCATGATAATAGTATTCTGATCAAGAAAGTAGCTGATTTTGTTGACAACATCTTTAAGGCGACTTTAATACAGTTAGGTAATTAATTGATGTGATTAATTCATGATTTGATTTTTCAAAAGTTTGTCCTTTATATATAGTGTAAATGACATAGGTTTAATTTTGCTTGCATATGATAATAAAAAAATGTTAATAAATATTTTAAAGAAAATATTAATTTTAATTTTTATGATTAAGTTTAAACATATAAAATTAATATATTTTTCTTAAAAAAATATCTCATTTTTATAATTTTTATTAAAAATAATATTTATCACTTTTGAGTACTTAAATTCAGCCTTAAAAAATAAAAATTATTAACTAAAAATTTAAAATATAAAATAATTTTATTAAAAATTATTATTATTTTAAATTTAATATAATATTTAATTATTTTATTTTATTATTATTCTTTAAGAAGGCACTGATTAAATAATGTCCTTGGAGAAGACGGTACTAATTAATAAAACTTAATGTATGTTAAGATTGTTGCATGAAATTGTTATACTAAATAATGTCCATTTTTTTAATATGTATAAATTTTATTCAAAATTGTTATATTAATAGTGTTAATATATTAAATTGCATTGGATTTTGTAAGGTTATGACAGAAAAATTAATAAATACATTTAGTTAATGTAGAAAAACAAGGAAGAAAACAATTCTTCTGCAGGATATAATATAGTTTGTATCTACCATGGAAATTAAGGATGTAGGCAAAGTCATTTGTTATAGCGATAGAAAATTAGCATTAAATTTTATTCTCAGGACATTTTTCTTCTCATAAATATGCTTATTATAAATTTGATTAAAGAGTTTTAATCAAGAGAATTGCTGATAAACCTACATCACATTTCACGAAAAATAAATATGTGCATGGATAAAATGACAAAACTTGAGATTAAATATGATAAAATATTTCAAATTTAGGTATAGATTCCTCAATCGACAATTACATTTAGATCTATTAGCGGATAAATTTGGAGTTATATATACTAAGTTGTAGTTTTATTGTTTCTTTTTTTTTTTTAAACAATCTAAAAGAATTAATAAATAATAATTCTATATATAATAGTATTAAAACTTGTAATGCAGCAATCGAGACTAAACAGATAAAACATTAAATTGAACATGAAAAATTCTTTAATATTGAAAAAAGTTATAGGATAAATACTAAAAAGTATGTTTTATTGTATTAAAAGATAATTATAACGTTCTTTTTACATCTGGATAAAAAATTTCGCATTAATTATTATTATTTATATATATTCAAATTGTATAATTTTATAATACTATATTTACCTATCATATGTTGTCATCCTCTCCTTTCTTCTCACTTTTTTTAACATAAGTTTATAGTTTCAGCTTAAAAAAAATATTAACAATACATTCTTCAAAATATCAGGGTGATTAATACAATATCTCTTCCTGTTTTTACATTACTTTAAATTCATATAATTGTACGAGAAATCAGGGTGATTAATACAATATGTAATTTTATTTTATAAATTAAAAAAATTTAAGATAAAAGAAGATAAAATATTGAGTGAAACTTTATTATGTCAATTAAATTTGTCTTACTATTTATGATTAATTAATTTTTTAGAAAATCAAAATATTTATTTAATAACTTGGTCATTCTTTAAAATTACTTAAACTTTTTAATAAATTGACAAAATAAAATATTTTAAAAAATTAGTTACTAGCATTTATATTTCGCTTTTCATTTCATTTGATGTCATCCTTGATCTCTGAAGCCTAAATGTTAAGAGTTTTAAAAAATTAGTAAACTTAAGCCTTAAAAGCTGAATTAAAGTATCATAAATACAAAATTTTAATAAAAGAAATACATATTTATTATATGAAAATTATAAAAATACAATAAATATTTATTTTTAATAAAATTTTATTATAATTATTAATTTTTTTATAGTGATACAGTTAACACTTTAAAAAAAGTACCACAAACTGAATGCATGGGAAATATTTTCATTAGTTCTCAACATTTAAGCCATACTTGCACCTCCCTCTGCTATGTTTTCCTTGGGTGGAGAAAATTTCAACCTTTGCATTTAATGCACCGTGGACTAACATTGGTTGCACATGCATTTTTGGCTGCACTCTAAACACTGGATATTTCTTTCTTACAAAAACCAGTTCACATAATTTGAAAGCCAAGCATCTATTCTTGCAAGATCAGCCTCTTAATTTCTTTTTAATGTGTATCTTAAGGGACTTTAAAAAAATGTTTTAAAAAATATTGACAAAGTAATAAGATTTTTTCTTTTGGATAAAAATCTAATGATATGGATAAGGATGGAATAAAACAAAACGCAACAGCTGTAAGCGTTAAAGTCACTTTTAAATGTCCTATATTCATATCTTAATAGCTTTTTTACATCTTGATTCCTATAGCTTTACAATTGGAAAAAAAAGGACTTTTTATCCTAAACTCCATTTGGATTAAAATGCAAGCCAAATATACGCACAATTTGAAACGTGCAAGATCAGTCCAATTTCAAAAGAAACAAAATGTAAATCCCAACGCATCTTTGCAACATCTCGAAGCAATTATTGGGCTATTTTTTAATGCTTAAATTTATCAATGGCCAAGCTAGGGTTGGGAAGCAAAATCAAGTAAGACGAGGAGGACGACAATTATAATAATATAACCAATAACCACACAGGACTCGGTACCTAATCAATGGGAGATGCCATTAGACATAATCCAAAACCAGTGTGTGAATCCATATTTCTTAATAAATACCTTAAACAATATCAGTTGAATGATTTATTGTGCTAGAAATATTACCCTGAGCAGTTTATAAAAGGATTTGGATCCTCTTATATATTTTGCTTGTATTTACTCATGTTGTATGAAAAATATATTAAAAAAACCAGAGTAATCCACCGTACACAAAAAAATATATGTAAAAAATGTTAGTAAAATATTCTCTAATACATTTTTAGTAATTAATTGAAATTTATTAAAAATAATAAAAAATATTTAAATATTATTCTTAATTTAATAATTCTCTTTTATATTTTTGAATTTTTAATAAAATAATGTTAATAACTAAGAGTGTATTAAAAATATATATTTTTAGCTCTCTTCTTTGCATATTTCAATAGTACACACCTTGTTTGTTTGTTTCAGTACCAATTTTCAAATTTTAATTCATCTAAAAGGTTTTTTTCTTACAAATTCCCCTAAAAGGTGTACTACAGAAAGGTAAAATTACAATCTTTTATTAAAGAGAGAGAGAGGTTAAAATCATGATAAAGTACATATGCAGTTAATAACAAATTATGAAATTGTCAAAATTTGCATCCTTCAATTTTTCACGAATATTTGTTACTTTTATCTTTTGCTGTAACTTGACTTTAGAAGAATCTAATCTTAACATTTGTGTGCATCAAGAAAGGAAGTTCTCCAATGGTAGGATCTCCTTTTATAGATGCCAACTAACTTCACGAATGCATTCTCATCATATTATATACGAAATATTTAAAGATCGGTTTAATTAAGTAAAGTTATATAGTTGTAACTTTCTCACTCTCGTGAAAGGTCTAAGGTGAACGGAAGAGATGAAAAATAAGTAGAATTTAACTTAGATATATAATCATTGTAAAAAATTTTACACTATCAATAAATTAGAATACACAATAATAATAATTTTTAAATTAATTACTACAAAACTTAATATTTCTAATAGATATGAAATCTATAATTGGATGACAATTTAAAAGAGAGCAAAAAATCTATGTTTATTCATTTCATGAAAAAAATAAAAAAAATAAAAAAATCCCTAATCCAAAATGTTCGTTTTCGTACGTTTCCACATAATCAACCACGTACTATCGTTATCATAATTACTAATGACATAAAGGGAAACTCAAAAATAATACTTAAAAAAATTAAATAATGAAAAAATAAAATGAAGAGACAGAGATAGATGAAGCCATCGAATCAAGTCCGAATTTTGTTTAGGTCAATAAGAGAGTAACAATTTTGTTGCTTCTATACGTCGTCATTCTCAATTGTATAAGCAGCTATATTCTGCAAGTAAATGATAACCACATCTCTGAGATTCTTTAAACATTTTTTTTTAAATCATTAATAAATTAACAATAATTAGAGGAAATGCATTCCAAGGGTAAGGTTTATCAATTATCCCCTTCTGAAAAGTGAATAACAATGTATCAATTTTAGACCATAAAGATCTATGTTGAAACCTCTCTTAGAATTAGGACTTGTAAACACGGGACAGAGAGAGAACTATCATATTCAAGACAATTAATTGCCATGCACAACATAATAAAGGTGCCAGAGAGATGAAATATACATGAAAGATTGCAAGTTCAGAGATGATATAGAAGAAAATGTACGGTTTAAGAATTATCTCCAATGGAAGACAAATAGAAACCCCGTAGAACGGAGGTTATGTTTTTAAGGGACGGATTAAACGGCTTACAAAAGTGCATGAGTATAATGCCACTTTTATGGTGATTTCTTTTACAACCTTGAATAACCTCTATTGTCTTCGTATTGCTCCATGAACTCATCATTGAACTTTTTGAAACTAGCCATAATAGCTGGCATGTCTTCCTCAGCTGGTAAAATAGTTGTCCTCAAATGGAAGACCCTATACGCAAAAGTTTGACACAAGCATTAGAAAGTAGAAAAAGAAAACTAGTATAATATTTATGGAAAGTTTGGTTTAAGAAATTTTCTCTATTTTTATTTTCTAGTTTTACTTTTAATTATAAAAATAACTTCATTTCTATAAGAAATGGATAAAAAAAAGTTTTTATTATTTTCACTGATTTCTATAAAAACTTTGAAACTAAGAAACTGTAAACAAGGTTAACATTTTTGGAATTAAAAGTGAAAATACAAAGTGAAAGCAAAAAACATTTTTTGAAACTAAATAATCCCTTATTTTTTCATCATATATGTTGTAGTTTTTGAAGGTATACTTTAGAAATATACTATCAAGTATTTAGACATCCTCCGAGTTACTGCATGAGTGGTGGAGCAACAATTCTTATTTGGCCTAGTTAGAGCATATTGTTATTACATGACAACTAACGAAAAACGTAGAACAAGGGAAAATTTTTCAAAGGGATAATAAACATGAGAATACAGATGGATGAGGATGTACCCTTCTTTCTGTCCAAATCCTGAACCAGGAACAGTGGATATGCCAGTGGCTTCCAAAAGCTTGAGACAGTATAAAACATCTGGAGCCTTTCCAGCCTGTTTAGCAGCCTCTATAGCCCTTGGTGGCAATCGTATATGAGGGAAAGAATACATGGCACCTGAACATAAGGAATCACTAATCTTTTATCAGATATATAAGAACTTGGAGCACGAGAACATATGAAATTCTTTTGGAATGCTATTGTTTTAACCTTCTGTAAAATTGCAAACAACATTTCTGCAACTGTTGAATCCATCAGTCATTATCCTTGCTCTTCTTCTCAGTGACTCAAGTATTCCTTTGCTGCATATTATAGATAATTGTCAAATAACTATATAATGAATCATCCTTAGTATGAGTTCAAACATTTGGGAAGATTAGGGAGAAATACTGAATATCTCATGTTTGATTATGACCTACATAGAAAATAGTTAATAATGAAAATTGGCATTTGTCAAACTAAGCATGATTACCTCTCCCTAACAAATTGATCATAAGAAATATCTCCAGGTTTGGGTGGATTGACCATAGTTCCCATCTGTAGAACAAGGTGAAAAACAGGTGGAAGGATAAAGAAAAGCAGGGAGGGGAAAGAGAACAGTACTCATTAAAATTATACTTTGAACAAGTATATTTGAGTCCAAATTAAAATATCTGACAGAAATATTCGGCTTTCACTCACAAATATTTGTGCTGGAACATTTGGACTAAGTGATATTGATGCAACTTTATATATCTCATCAACTGTCTGCAAAAGAAAATTAGAATCAAAGAAAAGCATCATCAGTGTGTTACTACAACAAAAATTGGTGGTCTCACAATTTGCTTGAACACCTAACATGTAAAGTCAGAAGGTCCTACATCTATAAAAGAGCCAATAAATGCAGAAAAATATTTTGTGACAGGAAAATTGTTCTGTTTACTACGTTACATCTGGCACTAAGTACCAAATGTAACATTCAGGAACATTACAGTCCATGATATCTATTGATGTATATTGTTTGTATTCCTTGTTTATGTTCAACAAATTTTCTACCATTCCATGTTTTAACATGATCTCTCAAAGGTTTGAAGAACTCAACAGGAATTAGATACGATAAATCTTAATAGATAAAAAATCAGTCATATGCTTTCATCTAATCGCTTGGGATAGAACATTCATGACATAGTACGAAGTATGGTCTAGAGTTTGATCACTGCCAATCTTATTCTTCTAAATAGAAAGTTAAACTTCAGTACAACATCAGGTGGGCCTGAGCATTGTTCATGCTTTAAGCCTGAAGGGGTCTAGCATGGAGGGCATGTCAAATATAAAACAATGCATGTGCTTTACTTTAAGCTCTTTGGATAGTTGGTTCATGACAAATCTGTACTTTTACATACTGCAAACATTGCAAGAAATCCCAGCTTGAAATTTAAGCAAGAAAATTAAGCAACACAAGATATGAAAAGGCAAACCTCTGGAGGAATGTTGGTCATTTCAAAATATCCACCCCTCTGTCCACATTCACCAAAGTAACCTTTTGACACTGTGTGAAAAGAAATAAGTTGGACTTCCTTGCTTAGAGGTGGCCCCAAGTCCATCAAAACCTTTGCGTGCAAAGAAATATAGTGTTAGCACAAGTCAATAACTGAGGCAAAATATCAATTTAGTAGCAGTAGCACAACAAAGCATACCTTTTTAGCACTAATGAAGGGTCGTTCATCTTGATATATATTCTGCTGATAAACCTCATCTCCAAGCAAAGCCAAATTTTCTTCATAACAAAATTGCAAAATCTCCCTCAGATTAGATTCACTGAGGCATTGACCTGTAGGATTTCCTGGATTTATAATCACCATTGCTTTAACCTGATCAAATTTCAATTTTTAAGAAATTTTGTTGCTTCCTTCAAATAAGGCATTACAGGACTAGACAAGAAGAAATTTTGACAAATGCAAAGAACTTATAAGAAGGATATTACGCTTTGAAATTCAAATTCTAGAATAACAAAAAACAATGCATAATTAGATGATTTTGTCACAGGTAGAAATACTGTTTCAAGAAACAGTCAAGTTATTTTAAAAGTCATTCAATCAATCAACCATATACTATTTTGTTTCTTTCTCAGGTGTCTGCAACCAGCCAAGTCATTTCTGGTTGTCAACTTAGAAGAAACAGGAAGAAAAGTAACAACAATTACTTTCAATATGAGAAGATGCATGCTCTTCACATTGATTCAGTGTCTTCCAAACATTTGAGCATTTAATTTTATAAGTTTTTCATAGAAGCAGAGTGAAACAAGATATTGTAAAGACAACACATACAGTTATTCCTTTATAGTGAGCCTGTGCAACTGATTTACGAAGTTCATTAATATCAAGCCCCCAATTTGCTGTCTCTTCAAGGTAGTATGGAACAAGAGAACCACCAAGCAGAGCAATTGTTGCTGAGTAGAGTGGGTATTGTGGGACTGGTACCAAAATCTGGCAATAACAAGTGTAGGGCAATTCTTTCATTTGGCACTGTGAATATAGAAAACTGAATTACAAATAAGAAAGAGACAACATTACCCCATCATCTTGACCTCTGATGATAGTATTTAATATCTGCATCACACCTTTGCTGGCACCATCAGTTAGATATATGAGCTCTGGATCACTGTAAACAGAGCAAGAAACAATTAAGCCTAACTAATTGAAGACTAAGCTTAAGAGCCCCTTTAAAAAGGGTTTTTACAAGGTATTGTAGAATATTGAGTGGGACAATATGGAGCATAAATACCTTGGATAACCATCACGTCTGTGTATGAACTCTGCCACTTCCTTCCTCACTCCTGGAATGCCTCGAGAATCACTATAAGCACCTACATCATCATTAGTTGCAGTTCATTAGTGGAAATTCTCACATCAAAGAGTCTAAACTCCTGTATCAGTTATAAGTAGAAGTGTTGGTAAAATTCCCAATAGTACAATAGTAACAGTAAGATATAAATTTGACATGGTAACATCAATAAATATTTGCAAGCTAAGAAGAATGCTCGTATGCCTAAAAAATTTCCAAGTTCTTAGTGCGGAGAAATTAATATGGTTTATACTCTTATGTAAAAGAAACTCCAGAGCTAAAAGGTCCATGAGAGGCCATACAAGAGCTTTTCTTTTGCTTGCGCTGTTGTTGTATCAGCAATTAAGTTTTCAATTCCAAGCTTATTTCCACAAGATAGATTGCAAGTGGAAGACAATTAGCGATATATAAAAATTTGCTTAATTGAACTGTTAGATATAAAACCATTCATTACTTTTTACTAAACAGCTTAAGCTATTGGAATAGTTGATTCATTATAAGAATATGAATTTCAGAACAAGGTAGAGGGGCATGTGCATTTGTCCGTGCTTCAAGACTGAAGTGCACTTGGGTATGAGGGGGTGTATCAGATATAAAACCATTCATGACACTTCACCTAATAGCTTAAGCTTTTGAGACAGTTGATTCATGACATTCACTACTACCTAATATCCTGCAAGTGCAACCATCTTTCTGGGGCAATTTCTTCTTTGGTTAACTAAAACTTGATCTGATATCCTTAGTCAAGAGAAAAAAAGGATAATTAAATGGAAAAGACAGCAAACAAATATGAATCCACCTTAAAATTTATGGTGATATTTTGGCATTTTGTCAATAATCTGAAATTTAAATAGAAATACTAAAACCTTTGTTTGTGTATTCAGTTAATGGAAATTGTCCAAATTTTTCAGAAAATTATTTTAGCAAGAGAAAACACATAGAATTTGTGTTCAGTACACAATTTGTAACTTTCACAATCTTTTTAGTATTTTTACATGTTTTCTAGGGATTCAGAAAAAGCTGGTTTTACACACATTAAGCAATTGATAACAGTAAAGGAATTCCCAGTTCAAGAAGCTCACAGCCTCAATCATTGTGAGGTTTTGAGAGAACTAGATGTATGCAGATGCAACCTCATCCTGGCAAGCACAGAGGTCGTTTCCACATTTAGAACATGTGTGTTGGTTACAAGGCCAAGCTTACCCTCATGCCAAGGCTCCTCTTCTAAGCAACTGATAATTATGATCTAATTAATTTTATCATGGGCAGTATGTAACTAAGTAAAAAATTAGATTTTATCAAATAATGCATCTTCTGATTCCAAGGTATTGCTCAAATTATTAAACTTACTAGCATTACTAGTTAATTTCAGCCACAAATATCAAGAGCCAAGGATAGGATAGAAAATAGGGTTGCAGATCAATACTTTAAAAGAGGATTAAAATATGTAAAACTTGACCATGCTATAAAACAAAGAAGACGACAGAGGAATACCTAAACCACCCGAGGTCAATGTGAGATAGTGCTTAGCTCTTGCAATTGCATCAGCGGGAAACAGCAGTCCAACATTAGGATCATCTAGGAGAAATGGAGCTTGGCACAAAGCAACAACCTGCAACAGAAAAATTGCTGCAGGTTAGCATAATCAACAAATAAAAATAGTTGAAGCTTAACACTGTTTAATTAGATAAGGAGTATGTTTAGCTGTTAACATTACAAAAATTACAAGGGACATCCAGTAAAAGTAGAAATAAGATTGTTATGCTAAACCTGGCGAGGGAAGCTCAGTGGTTTCTGTCCCAACGCATGTGGGTTGCCAACATTAGTAAATATAATCTGCCACCAATTGAAAATAAGTTAGTGTCAACACGACTAGGTGTAGGAGCACATGTGTAGAAATGATGACACAAAATAGATTAATACATATGTGTGTGTGTGTGTGTGAGTGAGAGTAATTTTTCTTTCAGGAAATGTAAGCTGGCAGTATTTGTAATAAGTCTATGGTTGCATAGGCATATATAAGTAATGATGCTCGTTCTTTTATGCGAATCCTTTCAGGATTTGCAGCTTAAGAACAATATAAATAGGTTTAATTTCAAGCAGCTAAAGAGTTTGATACAAGCTGATTTGCTTTAAGGAAGATACTTTACAAGTAAAAACAATTAGAACAACTACTTTGCCAACAAGCCATTAAGGACAAGCACTGGGTATTATGAAGCGCTCATAATAAAGTTTCAAACAGAATACATGTAGTAAGTAACGTACTATAATTACTGTGAGTTTGTCTAAAAACATGAGAACTATGAACAATATGCAACAGCAGGCATCAATTTCCTTTTCAGCTTGCATACATTTTTTGAAAACACTATCCTTTGTAATAGCAAGTACAAGACAAATTCAATGACAGGAATTTAACGATCAGGTCCAATTCAATCCTCCAACCTAAGAGTACAAGTCAAACAAACAAGAGGCTTTTGAATATGACCTGCTAAAGAAATTAAAATATACCTTTTTGCCCTCTTTCTGAAGCTCAGAAGCTCGAAGGTATAGTTCACCTCTGACAGCATATTGACTCTTCTTCACGTTTTCATTAATTGACTCATAATCTAAGGGCTTCGGCGGCATGGTGAAGCAGAAGATTTCTTCAAGATGTCACTGAATAAGAAAAAGCCAAAACTACCGACAAATAAAACCAGTTGCCAACCAGAATAACAATTCAAAGAGAGAAAAGAAAAGTCATGACTTGAGAAACAAAGCACCATAAAACTACCGTATTGAACTACATGTGAAATGTTTTGGTTTAGGAACACAGGGATACTGCAATTTTACTGATTCTTTAATAACAGAATTCAAGCTATCAACTGAAGTAAAGATTGACATGCAGCATGCTAGACATAGCCCCATAACGATACTTCTCTATATTAATGATAACTTTATCAAATATCCATGCAGTAGAATTGTACTGCATAAAGGAACAAAGCATATACCATACGTCGAACAAATGCACCATCAGCAAGTTTTCAAGATAATTGACATAAAAAATTAAACTAGAACAAATATAAAGCAAAAGCGTGTTCACTCCCGAATCTGTGCCCCTTCCAAGTAAAAAAATTGTTATGACGCGATGAAAAATAAACTACAAAGGCCAGCGAACAACGACACATGGCACAACAAAGAAAATTCCCAATCCATTTCAGATTGTCGACCAAAAAAGAAAAACCCTTCAAGCTTGCGACCAAAAAGGTCGGTCACAAAACAAAAAAAAAAGGAAAAAAAGAGGGGGGGGGGGGGGGGATAAGAATCCTCGTAGTAACACAAACCCAGTTGACACAAAAGGCAAAGGATTCGATGTTTAGCTTTATACTGCAAGTGGGCAGTTTCGTATTGTTTAAATCGAGTGCAGTTGAGAAATGTTACCTGTGGAATGGAGATTGAAGGTTTGTGTGCTGTGGATGACTCGCAATCGGGCACCTTCGTTTGATTGAAGAAGTGCTCAGTGGGAAATACCAAGTAGATGTAGTTTACAAGATTATTACTATTATTATTGTTATTATACGTGTCTTGACGAGGGTGTGAGTTTTATTTGTCTCTAGTGAAGTGTTGTTTGTGTGGCAGTGACAGTTGTGGAACACAATAGTGGCACCAGAGCCACTGAAAAAGGTGCTAACGGATTATTGAAATTGAGCTCACTATATATTAAACCCAAAGGGATAATGCTCGTGCTTCAATTGTGGCCAAGCTTTGGACTACAAGGTTCTCGGAAGATAACAAGGCTCTGGCCTTCAGTTTCTGCTTGTGCTTGGATTCAAGACACTGTGTATGTGTCATTTTCTCTTGGTGGAGTGGTTCTTGTTTCTTTGTTTGATTGTTTAGGTCTATGGCATATTCACAATTCTATTTTTTTTTTCTTTTTTCTTTTTACCTAATTAGGTACTGGAATTAGGTAAAAACACATTTGTATATTGTAAAAAAGTTAATAGCTTATTTTATTTTGCATTAAAATTCATATAAAATTGTGTTTATTTTAATATTATTAGTTATATTTTTATATTTTATTTATGTTTACAAATTTTCCACCATGATTTTAAACACGTACTGAATATGTTTTGCTTCCTTCATTTATAAAGTTATACTGATATTTAATTTATTATCTAGTGAATTCGGTGAAGTGCAAAAGCAACAATAGCACTAAAAAATATTCAAAACCAACACCAGGTAGAGAGATGTTAAAATGGATCACCTAACCTGATTTGGATCATTTTAGTTAAAAGGGCTTTATTGAATCGAGTAAAAAAAACAGTTCTTTTTTCAATTTGCAGGACGGACGCTTAGTTAGATTATATCAACTTAAACTTGATAAAAAAAAGTTTATTGAGTAAAATAATTAAAATTAATTTGACTATAAAATTTAAAAGTTAAGTCCTATGTTTTAAGAGGTTCAACCATGTAAGCCTGCCTGGATTAGCTTATTTTATTGCTATAATCAAGTACATGTAACAAATAGAAATTTTGAAAAATATTTTATTTTTCTTGTAATAAGTTTAAATGTGAGATCCAAAAAATAAGAAAGCCTTTAGAAAAGTTTATAAAAATAGGTAATAGTTATCGTAAGTTTTATTTATTTCAATAAATTTCTTAAAATTATTTATTAAAATAATCACTTTTTAGTTTATTTTTAAAAATGTTTAAATTTATAAAAGAAACGTTTAATTAAGTAATGTTATCAAATGTAACTTATTTGTCTTGTCTAGTTTTATATGTATATTGTGACTCATAATTTTTAAATAAAATATTTTTAAAAGTTGATTTTAAAAAAATGTTTTAAAGTATTGATTTTATTTTTCTTTATGTCACATGATTTTTAGTGCATTGAGCATCTAAACCTTTTTAATTCAAATTAATTTTTTAAAATGTTGATATTTTTTCATTTTAAATTTTTCTTAATTTGTTCAATAGGGTTTTTTTTAATTTTATAAAATCCTTAATTTTAAATATGATAATACAATATTTATTTTTATTTTTAAAATATATTTTTATTTAATTATATCATGCAGAAAATGATTTTTTTTAAAATATTTAATTTATGATTTAACAAATTAGGTAAATTTTCAAATGAAATTAATTTTTAATTTTTTTTATTAGAACAACTATTGTTTTCAATACATGTTGAAGCAATTTAGATGAGCAAAATGCCGTCAACAGATAATTTAAATTATTGTAATTGTTCAATTCATTCAAAGTTCAAACAAGCTTTAATTATCAAAATCTGCACAAACTAAGGTGGATGAATTTAAATTGAAAAAAAATCAAAGGAAAAAAAAAAGAGAGTAATCAAGCACATACAAGGTATGAATTCGTGTTCAGACATCCAGCAATTTTCTTATTTAAATATATATTTTTTTAATTAAAGTAGCTCAAAGTCCAAAACAAAACTAATGTCTCGTAGTAATGAATGAGTTAAATCCAAAATAAATTAAATTCTAGCAAAAGAAGCAAGAAAATAAGGATCCATTACAGACGGTGTTACTCAAACCAATTTAAATACACAAATTAAGATAAGTTAATTAAATATTTGGATTCATCAGATTAAGCTACATAAAAAAAACACTCCTAAGCTCGAGCTTAAGGAAGTTGTTGGATGATAAAATTTAGAACTTGTGATAACATACCTTCACGTGTGAATAGTGTAGTATACATAAACAAGGGAACAACCTTGTCTTGTTTATCAGAATTAAAATAAAACCATTGTCTGAGGGGACCATTTTTCCACTAAAAAAAATTATTTGAATAAAATTTATATTCAACTTCGTAAATCAACCAAATCAAATCAACTTGTACTATATGTCTATTATTTTAAAATTGTGCTTTTAATTAAATAAAATTAAAGATATGAAAGTGAGACGAGTCAAGTTTAATTAATTCTAACACAAACTTGGTTTAATAAGAATTTGACATAATTTCTTGCTCAAATTCATCTCACCTTAAACCCACCCATTACTTAGTTGAACATATTTACTGAATATCAGGTCTTCTATTAATTGAATATCTTAGAATATATAAATAAATCATAATTTTTCTGTCAACATAAATAAATCATACTAAAATATGTAATCTAATACAATGTGATTTGGGTCAATTGAAAAAGGCTCAAATTTTGATATCAATTATCTTGGATTACCAGTAGCTCAGTGTGTAATTTAGATCAGATACACAATATGAAACCCACCTAAAATGTCTACTCACTCAATGTTTCATATTCACTCATTGCGTAAATTATAACCACTAAATCATGCTTTCCTTCTACAGGGTGCAGAGCCTTTTACAGTGATGATATACTAAACCATACAATGTGAGGTTGCTATAATATTTTGATTATGAGTTACTCGCATTTAAATGTTATATAACAAATTAATGTTACAACATCGTACACTATTTTGCTATTGTTATTTTATTACCGTAAATATTTATTTAAACGTTGAAGTGTCTTTTTTATGCACAGCTTCTCTTCATCACAAACATTTAAACACATCCAACTGTGACTGATTATTTCCACATCTATGCTACTGAATTTAGGCTATTGGAGATATACTAAAAGCAGTGTGTTTTTTTTAACATATATAAAATAAAAACGATTAATCAAACAAAAATACAAAACTAGGTTCAAGTATATAATAAATCAATTTAGGCAATAGTTATATTGGTTTTCTAATACACACCCCACCTATATAGAAGAGAGATAAAAAAAAATAAAAATTCTCACGAGGTATAATGAATTGAACATATGAAAGTATAATATGAAGTATTAAAATTTAAAATATGCTGAGGAATAATCAATGTTGTTTTTAGTACTTATTTTTACTCTCATATATTTTATTAGTTTTTTTAAAATAAATTTGTGTTTAAAAACATTTTAATTATTATTTTCACTCTCATATATTGTGTGTAAGGGATAATGTTTTATAACACAAATTTATATAAACAATTTTGACTTGTAAATTGTTGTTAGGAAGAATTATTTTTGGAGCAGCCATTTTAAAATAAAAGTCTTAGAGCATGTTTGTTTGCATTTAAAAAAAAAAAACTTTTTGTTAAAAATGTTTGCATTGCATTTGTTTTTTTTTTCATTTCTAACCACTATGGATACGTGCGAAGATAATTTTTATAGTAAATAAGAATTAGTTTAAAAGATCATTTGGAATGTATTTCCATTTTGAAACATTATATTTTCTTCAAAAATTAAATTAAACATACTTAGATCTTCAATTGTTTAAGGTCTTTAATAAGCAGTCCTATTTATTATAATTAATAGGTATAGTTTTTTTTTTTAAATTAAAGAGATTCTAAAAAGTTAAAAATTAAAAGTGAAATTAAACTAAAAAAAGCCACATGATATAATAAAAGACTTTTGAAAACACTTTATTTAAAATATTTCTTATAATATTTTTATTTAAAAAAAGACTCACGTTATATATATATATATATATATATATATATATATATACAATTATATATTTTTCAAATCCTGACCTAATTATAGATAAATAAAATACTATAAATTAGTCTTCATACACGACTTATTAAAAGGTTCTGTGTCCAAATCTATATTAGCATATGCAAAACTTTCATATCTATACTTGTACTTTTTAGGCCCTTATATAATAAGAGTGTGAATTCAATTAATTTCTTTTTAATTATTCAATTTATTAATTTATAAAATTAACTAACATATTTAGTTATAAAAATCAAAATTAATATAAGTCACTATTTGTTATTGAAGGAATAATTAATCATGTATAATGATTTATAATCTATCAAGTTAAACAGTTTAAATTTAATTAGCCAAATATAAATGATGAGTCCTGCACCGCATAACTATTAAACTTTATTTATAATTTTTTGAATGTCACATATTTAAATAGATGTATTGGATATGGCTTTTTATGAATACGTTGTGCTTAAATTTTTAATATATTTTTAATAGATTAAAATAACTTAATGATTTAGTTTTTCATCCATCTATTATAATTTAATGAAAAATTTATCTAATCCATCCATTTGACACTCGTGTTGTATGTCTATATTTTTTTACCCACATTTTAGTTATTTTAGATATAATTGAGTTATTCATCGATTCATTTGCATGAAAAATATTGGATTAAAGTGGTTTTATTCATGCATGTTGTATAAAAGAAATTTAAAAAAAAGATATACATAAAAGAAATTTGAAGAAAAAAGAGATGTACAAAATGTTACAAATATAAAAATTTATTAGTTTTTTTAATTAGAATGTGTAGTATTTTAGGTGTATTGGAGACTTAAATTTGTGTGTTAGATAAGAATTTACATTTTATTTGTATAGAAATCGTAGGAGATGATTTATAAATATATTAAAAATTATAAAATAATAAAATTATGTTAAGATTTTGTGAATATGAACAAGAGGTAGTCACGTTAAAAATGTGTTTTTCCTTCTTATTATAATTTCTACTTGTGATTTTTTTTAGGGGCAGAGATTGCAAAATACTTTATTTTCTCCCAACCAACAGTAGAAGGGACATAGTTGATGAAATCTTGGTCGGTAAATGTTGTTTTTAAGTCTGGCAATAGTTTAACAAAGAGGTTCAAGTTTCTTCTTCTTGGACACCTTGCTCTAATGAGTGGCAAGGGAATGAAAATCGATGATCGGCTAGGCTTAAATCACTTGGATACAATATATACATTCTCACTTTTCACAGTTTGCAAATAGACTTGCCCTTTTCTTTCAAAAGCTTTGCTAACAATCCACATTCAACCAACCGGGAATGGACAATCGTGTTCAATTGAAGCGTATGAATATTATAATACCATCACACATATTTATTTATTTATAGAAAATTGTTTTCTTACTAATTTGGTGTTCGAAAAAGTTTAAATTGTTGCAAATTGAACATTGTGAAATATAAACCATTTCTAACAAATTGAAGATTAAGATTGAGCAAGTCTTGTATTATGTAAGAAACAGATTAGAAGAGTTAGGTCTTTCACCGCAATTGATGCTAAGACAAACCTTTCACCGAACTAACCCCTCTTAAAAAACGATCCCTTCACTACAAGATTCAAAAACTCAGCGAATCAAACCACCACGGAGCAAATCATTAACTCCTGACCACTACTTAATGGTAGAGATATATGAAATCTTTTAAAATAATGATTTTGTTAACAATAGTAAAATTTCATTAAAAAAAGTATTAATATATTTTTATAACTTTAATATAATAGTTATATATATTTTTATATATAAATTTTTTATTTATAAATATTTAAACTCAATCTTAGAGAATTAGATTAACAAAACTCTTAAAATAATACATCTATCATTTTAAATTAATAGACAAAGTCAGTACAAATATAAAATAATATTATCTTTACTTACCTACTCTATTCAAGCTATTAAAAAAGACATTCATGAATAAAAATAGAAATGAACTAAACCTAAAATTAAATAGATCTAGTCAATTATATAAAACTAGAGTATGAGTTTAATGTAGACTAAATTTTTATGCTTAATTTAACTTTTTAAAGTTTGATTTAACTTAATAACCTATTTAATATTAAGAGTTTCAAATTTAATGAACTAACAAGTTAGTAGCTAACAGACTAACAAGTCAAAAAATTCATTATTAGTAAAATGAAAAATATATGATAAGTAATTATATTTAATGATTTAAATATTATGTTTGATACTTTAATAGTATAATTATAATTATTATATTATTATAAATTAAATATTAAATTATGTTATATATATTATTATTACATTATCCTTACTTATAAGCAAAGAAAAAGCAATAGAAGTCATTTTTTCTCCATAAATTAGTGAGCAATTTTATTGATTTTAGTTATTAAAATTAATTTTAAAAAATAATATTCATTACATTTTATATTCTTACATGTACTTGCAGATACAGATATTCTTAAAGGTAAAATTTTGAAAAGAACTTATTTTTTCCTTAACTAACCACCTATAGTTATTTGTTATTAAATCTACCATTAAGATTTGTTGGGACCTAAAATGATCACAAAATTCTGGCAACCGATAAAGAAAATTTCTTATTCTTATATGATAACAAGTGTTACAATGGAGCATTATAATATTCTCAATACCACTACACGTGTTATGCATGTTTGACAATAATGATCATATACACAAAAACAATGAACATAGCAGTGACTCTGACAATAATGCTTGTACCAAGCTAGCAAATATATATTTCCCAACTGTCTCCTCCAAAAGCGAGTGAACAACGAGGCTGTGACCGCCGACAATGGCGGCCACGCCACCCACTCCGTCTTTATCGCTACCTTCGAACAAACCCCTCAAACAAAAACCCTTTCACACTCTGCTTCACCCCTCTAAGAACAACAAAAACGGTTTCTCTTTCAATTTAAGGTGCGAGATCAAAGGCTTTGAGAGCCATCATCGGGGCTGGACAATTGAGCGCGTTTCCGATATGAGCAAAGACTCCGTTCACACCAACCCTTCTCCTTCTCCTTCTTCTTCGTTGGTCTCTTTCTCTGCTGCTTCCTCTGCTTCCGAATTCCCCACCAAGAATGCAAAGAAAGTTGTCCTCTTTTACTGCGCCGAGACCAAGGCCCTCGCCGAGAAAATCGCCGTCGAGTCTGACGCCATCGAACTTCGTAACATCTCTTGGGGGTTCGTTCCTTTTCATTCACACTTCTCACCCTCAACTCATTGTTCTGTTCTGTTTCAATTTTGACCAATGTGGAAATCTGTATCCGTTTTTCACTAACTTCGAGTGCCCCATTTAGCTGAATTGCTCTCTTTTGCTGCAATTGGTGTTCTCGTGGTTCCAATTATGGAAGTTGGAAATACCCATTACGGTTCTGTTCCCTCAGCATATGTTTGGAACTGTATGCGTCTGTTCCAATTATAAAAATTAGAGTTTTACCACCATAATCTGCACAATTAAGAGTGATATTAGGTTGATACATATTACAGATGAGAAACTCCAATTTTAACTGAAAAACAATATAAAAAGTACCTATAGTACTCCGGAATAAAAAAGTGGAACCAAAATGCAATTAATTAAGCTGTTTATCCATCAACATCTTTAACATTGAAACTTAAAACCCCATTTGGTTCCTTATTTTTTTCTTAGTTCTAGCTTCTTTGCGTTTTGAATGTGTATTGTATGGTTTCACTGAAGTTCTGTGTACATCTGAAAACTTCAGCAAGTTTCCTGATGGCTTCCCCAACATTTTCATTCCTAATGCTCAAGGAATTCGTGGACAGCATGTGGCTTTTCTGGCCTCATTCAGTTCTCCAGCAGTGATTTTTGAGCAGATTCCTGTCATTTATGCGTTGCCAAAACTTTTCATTGCTTCATTTACCCTTGTCCTTCCATTTTTCCCAACCGGTACTTCGGAGCGTATGGAGGATGAAGGAGATATTGCCACAGCTTTTACTTTGGCCAGGCTTTTGTCAAACATACCCATTTCTAGGGGAGGACCTACTAGTCTGGTCACATTTGACATTCATGCTTTGCAGGTCTAATTTTGGTAGAATTGCTTTTGGTTGGTCCATATCGTGTTTTCTTTGTCTTTCTTTCTCATTTGTGAGATTCCTGGCTACAGTTATTTGATTATTTGTTGCATTGCAGGAGAGATTCTACTTCGGTGATAACATATTACCGTGCTTTGAGAGTGGCATACCATTGCTTAAAAGAAGACTCCAGGATCTCCCTGATTCTGAAAATGTGAGGCTTTCACATATATTTATTTGTTCTCTTTGTGGCTTCTTGCTTTTATATTATTCTTTACATACTGTTCTGGCTTTTTCCTGTGCTCGTGAATTTTGATAACGAAACTGACCAATCTTATTTTCATGCAAGTTATAAAATTGAATTAGGCTTATATTTTGTAGATTTTAATTGAAAAGTGAATGGGAATCATTTCTTGCAGTTCACACTTTCTATATTTAATGTCTGACTGGTTTTCTTCTTTCTCAGATAGCAATTGCTTTTCCTGATGATGGTGCTTGGAAACGATTTCATAAGCAACTGCAGCATTTTCCAACGGTAGTGAATGTAGTTATTCTTACAATGTTTCTCAAATTCAGCAAAAGTAATAATATCACATTGGTACTAGCCTAGCAGCTGCTAGTTTGAAGTTTGAGCATAGACTGACTTGCTGGGATGATTCCATCTGTTAGCACTAACACAATGCATATGCAGATAGTTTGTGCAAAAGTTCGGGAAGGAGATAAACGGATAGTTCGTATTAAGGAGGGAGACCCTAGGGGTCGGCATATTGTCATTGTTGATGATTTGGTTCAATCAGGTGGAACTCTGATAGAATGCCAGGTACAAACATCTGTGTATGTTTCTTACATGACACACAAAAAGTGGAAAGCTTATGCTGTTTTATTTATTGTAGCAAAGATTAGTTCTGTTTTTATCTTGATAACTTATCAAATTGCCATCTTTCAGAAAGTCTTGGCAGCTCATGGAGCAACAAAGATTAGTGCTTATGTGACTCATGGAATTTTTCCAAATAAATCATGGGCACGCTTTGGACATGATAATGGGGGTAGGGCTTGCTTTACTTTGCTCCTTAAACCAAGCTCATTGGCTGTCCTTTGTTACAAAGGAAAATAAGTTTATTGAAAATATTTATAAATTAATAATACTAATTCATCAACTCGCGCTGATATCAACTAGGTGCAAATGTTAACTTTCTTTATTACATTAATGTGATTTAATTTAACTCCTGTTAATTTTCTGGATTTTTCCTTTATGAGTGCGCCTTAAGTGACATTTTCTTCTATAAACATGTGATCATATGTCACTTTTCTTCAAGATCCTAATGGCTTGACTTTATTGTTCAGCACAAATATGCCAAATCTAGAAGGGATGTCCAATCACCTTTCTTTTAGACATTTAGCATATTTTCTTTTTCATCATAATTTTCTTTTTATACTCAACTTTCTTGTTTTTGCCAAGGTCTAACTCACATTAGTAACTATTTTATTTGGAGGGGTTCCCACGTATTGGGAGAAGTAGTTCATACTGTATAATGAAAACAGTGTTATTGAACTTTCCTTTACAAATCTAGTGTTGCTTTCTGTAATTAGGATTGAATTTTGAGTAATGTACGTGGTTAAAGGAAGTGGAGCAGAAAAACATCCACATTCTAACTAGGCTTTCATTTCTTGCATCAATCTAAAATTTAATTTAATGGCTTACAATCTACATTTTCTTTTCTCACCTTCAGCCATTTTTGACTTTCATGCACAGGGCATCCAGAGAGTGCATTTACATACTTCTGGATCACAGATTCATGCCCCTTAACAGTGAAGGAGGTAATGAATCGGCCACCATTTGAGATTCTCAGCCTTGCAAGCTCCATATCGGCCAGTCTCCAGATCTGACGAGAACATAATGTTATTTTCATCTCATGCCCAAAATAAAATGCACAAAGTCAAAAGAAGAGACCTGGTTGATAATGATAGTCATATAGTTGAGCTCTTGGACTTGAGTACGCGGCTTATAGTAATAGATACATGCAGGGGAGTAAAAGACGGCATAAATTGTTTTATCTTTAGTATTGTCTTCCCCCCCTCAACTTTATCATTGCAACATCTACCTCAGTCGCTTGCATACTGCTTAATGATAATAGTTCATAGAATGTTGGTGTTAAAAACAATTGTGTACTTTGGGCCTCATGGATTTTGGTAGTTTCAATCGAAGTGTATCTTTCCAAATTAAATAAATGATGATTCCAAATGTCGATCTTTAGATTATTGCTGAAAGAACTTTCTGAAGATCTAAAATTTTAAGTGCCAAAAGAAATTATTCATTTTAGTTCAAAAAATGGTTTGATGTCTCAACTTTACAATTTATTGATTAACGTATTTAGAATCACGTTTTAGAGTTTATTTGGAAGTCAAAAGTTGTTGACTGGAACAATATTTGGTAATCTGATTGAGTGGCCTTACTAATTTGTATTGATAAAAAACTGTTGGGAATTATTGCTATTTAATTGTCGATGCTAATATACTTCATGCATAGCAATATTGAATAGTACAGATTAAAATATGCTTTGCCAAAATGTTTTTTTCGAAAAAAATATCTTTGCTGTTTGCATTAATTATTATATTATTTTTTCTAGGTAATACGTTATCTTTTTTTCTAACGCAAATAAAAAATATCGTATAAATTCCCTTTTTTGAGGATAGAATGTCGAGAACAGCATGATCATAAAAACATATCAGTTTGTTGATAAACTACCTGAATATCCAAGACAGGACTTGGCATCCAATCTACCCAGTAAAGCAAGCAGAATTCTTCTTAACACGATCTAACTGCAGCAACAAATAATGTACTCTTGATGCACTAAACAACTATATATTATATAACATTTTGAACTCCATGGCTGCGATTTCATGTTCAATTTAAATGGCATTTCGCTTTGAAGTTTAAACCAAATTACAGACACGGAAGAACAAACATTGAACCTGATCTTAAAAATATGGAGACTAAATATTTTCCTTTATTAATTGTTTTTAAAATATTTAGTTGTTCTAGTCATGCAAGATATGCATGAACGATGGTATTGGTTATTTGTCATCGAGACATCCAATTGCCCCGAATCACGAACCTTTGTTGACTCGTCTCAGTTCTAGAAATCAAAATGAAAAACCAGATAAACTTGTTTGGTTGCACCCAACTCCAGGTCAATTAATGTTTTGTGATTTTGCTTTGTCTGAGTTTTAAACCAGATTGGAATCTGAATGTTTTCAGCTGCTAACAATTCCTAGTGTCCTTGTTCTGATTCATGTCCATCAATCTCCCTCAGCGTATAATGTACTTGTTGTCATTTTCATTGCAATTAACATCAAGTGTAATTCAACAACTAGCTGAACTTAAGCAATTGGACCGCTACGTTCGAAAATAACTAGGAAGAATAATGATTCACAAAATGGATGAGAAATTTATATTTGAACACCAGTTTGAACCGTCTATGATTCGCAATGGTAAGAGTCAACAGGGTACCTAATTGGAATATAAACTCGGTTATTCATTGGAGGATTATAACTGACAGGCTGACACATGTTGCAGAGTCCCACATCATTCAGAACTATGACAAGCGCCTGGAACTTGGATTATTTAAGTTGAATTTCTCCGCTTACCAAATCATACCTTTCTCGGCCTTTTGGCTAAGATCAAGTGTAGTATCTGTTCTTATCAGTTTAATATCTGATACGTGGGCCATTGGCTCACATGATATTAAATTAATTATTTTAGGGAGAGGGTCCTATGCAGTAGCTTGCTACTCGGGCACTCGAGTGTCGCCCATGCGTTGCACTATAGCAAGGGCCTGGCGCATCCCACCAATTCAGTTCAACCTGTTTGCATAGGATTCCGTTTTTCATAACTTTTTGGAGTAGTTTAATTGATTCATTCTGAAGAGGGCTTTAATTGGGTCGATGGTGTTTATGGTTGTGCTATTATTGATCACAACCAAAAAATGGTTTGCTAAGTGCAAATGAATTATTTTCATGGGAGGACGAGTGTTCACGTTGCTACATTATTTTGTATGTTCTACAGTTATAGCTAAAACCAAGTGATTCTCCATTCGAAGACAATTCAGAGTTCGTCTTTATTTCCGTTCGAAACGGAGTTCTGCGTAATTGAATTTTTTCTTCTCTCACATAACTTGATTTCTAACCGAGAAATATGCGAATCTGTGTAAAGAGGTGCACAATGATGAGATTGAAACATACAGCTCAATACATTCATAGGAACAAAGACCAGAAATAGGAAAGGATCGAACATAATCAATACCATGATAAATAGTATGCTATAATATCCAATGTTTTTGCTTGCAAGTTGAGTAGAGCAAAGCTCAAAAGGAAAATACCTCATCAGAGCCCATCAAGAGAGAATTATTAATAAAATAGCCTCAGACGTGGTGATTACAATTGTTATAAAAAGGAACTATCAAAAGCTTTCCTCACTTTGATTTCAGTGAACTAATCTATAAACACTCCAATACATGGTTGCACTCAGCTCAATTTATGCAGTGAATCAGGAACAAGCTTGAGCAGAAGATAGCAGCAAATGTTTCTTCTGATGAGTGATAAACAACAAAATGCTATCAATTGATGGTATATCATGGACCGTGGGCGAAGGAAAATAGAAATCTTGGCAAAGTACCAAGTCAGAAAACAGGTTCATCTGGAAGCTTCTAAATTTTCAAAGAAGTTTAGAAGTACAGTGATAGAATCTTGGCAAACACTTGATTAGAGGATGTTACTTTACATGCTCCTTTTTCCCAAGTAGTGAGTAGCTGCAGAAAATCATAACACCCTAGAATGAGTCATTCCCATTTCATTGTCTTAATTACAAGTACAGTAATAATTCATTTTGACGTTTATAATAGCGCACTGGTAATTCATTACTCTTCAAATGATTAGTGACGGCTGATTCTATATCTTATTGGTCTGCGTTGGACAGATTCAAATTGCTGATTAGAATTTGAAAAATTCTCTAAAGTAGATATTGGGAGCATCTGACTCAAGTGACTAAGTCCCACATCTGTCAGACTTTGACAAGAACACAGAGCTCAGAATATAAAAGTTGAATCCTTCTATTGTTTTAAGCATACCTTTCTCGGCCTTTTGGCTAAGATCAAGTGTAGTATCTGTTCTTATCAGTTTAATATCTGATACGTGAGCCATTGGCTCACATGATATTAAATGAATTTTTCGAGGGAGAGAGTGTATTATGGTAGCTTGCTATTGTGCCTCTCAAGTGTCGCCCATGCGTTGCACTATTGCAAGGGCCTGGCACATCCCACACAATTCAGTGCAAACATTTTAGCTCTGAGTTTCGAAAATGATTGTGATGTTGTTTAACATGTGCATATATAAACGATGAATAACATCATGCCAAAACCAAACAAATCTGCAACTCTGCATGCCACCACCTTTACAAATTGCTAACATGCTTCTTTGTCCTAATTAACGATTAGCTGTGGAGAAAATAACGTTTATGTTTTCCTTTACTTTTTGGCTTCTTGCAAATATTGAAAGGAGTTGTCACCAATTATCGGATTCTTTCCTTTACTCAAGCGGTATGAAATAACAAATTCAATCTCTAAAGGTATCCAAATGAAGTATCATTAATTAAGATTCACTGGGCTTTGATTATATCTTTTTTTTCTAGACTGACACTAAAACATAATGTTATCATTACTGTTTTTAGTTCTTGGTATTCTTTTTCTCGTTGTTCTGTTCTTTTTTTGTGCATGTTTCTTATTCATGTTTCTTGTTGTTATGCTTGTTTCACGGTTCTTCTTTTACTTTTGCATATTTCTTGTTCTTGTTCGACATGGTTTCTTGTTTCTTTTTGTACTACATGATCTTATTCATCCAGCATATTTCTTGTTTTTTTGTTCCAGTTCTTCTTATCTCTTGTTCTACATAATCTTGTTTCTTTTTGGTATTATTCTTTATTGTTATTAGTTCTTGGTATTCTTTTTCTCGCTGTTCCGTTCTTTTTCTTGTGCATATTTCTTATTCGTGTTTCTTGTTTTTGTGTTTCTTGTTTTTATGCTTGCTTCACGGTTTTTGTTCTTTTACTTCTGCATATTTCTTGTTCTTGTTTGACATGGTTTCTTGTTTCTTTTTGTACTAGGTAGATCTTATTTATTCTGCATGTTTCTTGTGTTTTGTTCTTTTTCTTCTTATCTCTTGTTCTACATAATCTTGTTTCTTCTTGTGCACGTTTCTTCTTTTTCCTGTTTCTTGTGTTAGAAGTATACAATGATTATTATATTTTTATTATTGTAAAAAAATACATCTTATATACAAGTTTATGTAACAGCTTTACAACTGTACAAAACTATACATCCAATATCCCCCCTCAAGCTACAACATATATATTCTTAATGCTCAGCTTGGACACAAGAGAGTGAAACTGTATTGGATGCAACGACTTGGTGTGAAGATTTGATAGTTGTGCCAAAGTGGGAATTGGCATAAGCTTGATGACTCCAGCTTGGACTTTATCTCTTATGAGGTGACAATCGATTTTAATATGTTTGGTCCTCTCATGCATAGCTGGATTCTGAGCAATTTGTATAGCAGAACGATTGTCACAATATAGAGGAACCAGTTGTTGCAAAGGTTGTTTCAGATCATGGAGTAAATAGAGCAGCCGCTATATTTCACATGCTGTGGATGCTAAGGATCTATATTAAGCTTCAGCAGATGATCTGGATATGGTTCCCTGCTTCTTTGATTTCCAGCTGATCAATGATGATCCATAAAAGACATTAAAACCAGTGACAGATCTTCTGATTTCAGGACAAGCTGCCCAATATGAGTCACTAAATGCCTTGAGAGAATGATATGTGGCTGAAGGAAAAAACGGGCCTTGTCCTGGACTATTCTTGATGTACCTCAATACTTTTATTGCTGCCACATAATGGTCTTCCATAGGATTAGAGAAAAATTGACTGAGTGTGCTATAGAAAAGCATAAATCTGGTCTTGTGTTGGTAAGATAAAGCAGTCTTCTATAAGCATGAATATCAAAATAAGGTTTTCCTTCTGACTTAGAAAACTTGGTTCCAAGTTGTATGGGTGTAGACACAGGTTGACAAGCCAACAGGCCTGCATCTTCTAATAACTTTAGAGCATAATTTCTTTGTGACAAAGTGATTTCTTGCCACTTTTAAACCCAGGAAGTATTTGAGCTGACCTAGATCTTTGATTTTGAACTTTGCATCCAATAGTGCTTTCACAGTTTGAATTTCTTTAATGTCATCTTTTGCCAAAACTATATCATCCACATAGACAAGTAATATAGTGATATGATCAGAATTAATTTTGACAAAAAGAGAATAGTCAAATTTGGATTGGATGTAACCCAAGGTCAGCAAAGTAGTTATCAATTTATGGTTCCACTGCCTGCTCATCTGTTTAAGTCCATACAAGGACTTTACCAATTTGCAAACTTGTCCTGTTTTTGTTGTCTTATAACCAAGAGGCAATGACATGTAGACCTCCTCATCCAAGTCCCTATGTAAAAAAGCATTATTTGCATCCCATTTGATGTAAATACCAATGCTTTGAAGCTGTGAGGGCCATAACTAACCTTACTGGTGTGAGCTTAACAACAGGTGAAAATGTTTCAAAGTAGTCCTAGACCCTGCTGTTGTGTGTAGCCTTTTGCTACTAACCTTGCCTTGTATCTTTCAATGCTTCCATCAGCTAATCTCTTTATTTTATACCCTATTTGCACCCTATAGGTTGTTTGCTAGGAGGCAAATCAGTTAAAATCCAGGTTTTGGTACTTTCTAAAGCTGCAATTTCTTGGTCCATAGCCTTCTTCCAAAAATCATGTTTAATGGCTTGATTATAGGTTTTAGGTTCAGTGATTTGGGAAAGATTTAGAACATATGACTTATGAGGGGTGGACAAGATATCATATGAGAGATAATGAAAAATAGGATACAATATACCTGTAGAAGATGGAGCAGTTGAAAAAGTAGCTAGCATGTTGCAATGATAGTCCTGTAGGTAAGAAGACTGTTGTTTGGACCTGGTAAATCTTCTTTGTGGATTTTGAGATGAAGGTTTAGGATCATGGAGTGCAATAGGCTGAGGAATGGGGGCTGGTGTAATAATGAGAGATTGTTGATCAGTGATATCAAAGAAAATTAGTGAACTGGGTGATGTTAACTTGACCACAGGACCCAGAAATTGATGTACAGGATCCTTGTCACTATTAAGAAAAGAAAATATATTTTCATAGAATACTATATGCCTTAATAGGAAAATTTTCTTAGTATTGATATCTAACAGAAGACATCATTTTACTCCTTTTTTTAAACCAAGTAAAACACATTTTCTTGCTCTATCTTGAAATTTAGTTATATGAGCCTGAATCGTGGAAACATAGTAAAGAAAATAAAAAGCTCTTAAAAAATTGATGTATGGCTTAGTATTATGCAAAAGTTGAGATGGTGAAAGATATGCTAATCCTTTAGAGGGTAGTATGTCAATGAGATGAACAACATAGCTAATAGCATAGGACCAGAAAATTATTAGTAAATGGGATTGAAACATTAAAGGTTGAACAATATTTAGAATGTGTTGATATTTTCTCTCAACCACCCCATTTTGCTAGGGTGTTTCAACACAAGATAATTGATGTTGTATCCCTTTTTGTCTATAAAATTCTGTCATGGCAAATTCATTGCCATTGTCTGATATAACAGCTTTCACATCTATGCCAAATTGAGTTTTTATGTAAGAGACAAAATCAACAAGTTGTGTCCTTGTTTCTGATTTAGTGGTCATTAATTTTATTCATGTGTATCTTGACATATCATCTACTATTGTTAAGAAATATTTAAAACCATGATAAGATGAAATGCTATAGGGATCCTCGTAACACCTTAAATTTAATTTCCAGGTAATAGTTTCGTAAAATGAGACTAATGAAATTTTCATTTAATAAAAGATCTCATTACAGAGTTTCATAAAACGGTTCAAAACAATAAAGAATTACAATTTATATCAAAGACTGCTATAGGATTAATTCAGTTACATCATAGTTTCAAATTACAATCCAAGTTACAATCCAAGTCCTATAGCAGTTCATTCTTCCTTCACTGAGTTCAGTGCTGATCGTCTTGACCACCTAAAAAATAAATGTAAGAGTGAGTAGTCTACACTATCCAACGCACACAAACATAGAGACTCATCTCAAATACTACACATTTACCAACATATTTAAATCATGCATTCACAAGACAAATATCTCAATCTCAGTCACAATCATCATTTACCATCTATTTAAATTTAAAACACAACCGGTACACTCATTGCACCAATATTTCACACACGTGCGCTTACCACACCTAGCCCGCTTACTGTGACACTGTGATCATAGTTTCACACCATGAATGGTCGCTGGTTACCCTCGCCTTACGGATATAGCATAGGCAGTCACGTATCGCTCAGCAAAGGTAGTGGTCAGAGGTTTAGTCAGGAGAAGAGTGTGTAAACTGTGGTGCACCTACGCTCACTGTTGGTGTTACCACCTCTCTCTTTCCCAAGGTATTTCTACCATCTTCATCTTCCACACCTCCAGTGTATCGCTGAACCATTCACAACATCATTACAACGACATTCAACATGCGTTACTCATACCCACATTTCTCATTCACAACTCACAAGACAATATCCATAGTCATTAACATTATACGGCACATAGGCCCACATTCATTCGCACACACGACACAAGTGCCCACATTCATTCACAGTATACGGCCCACTAGCCCACATTCATCTACCACACACGACACACATGTTCATTTCATACACACAACATTTCAACATGCCATCTATACTCATTTTCAACCATTTACATTATTCAAGGACACACAAACATAGCTATTCGCCCATATTGGACTCAATCATTTCACTCATCACATTCAATATCAATTGCTCAACATGCTCATACACATTTTCTACTCTCTATCTCAGCCACATCACAACATTCAATGAAATAATTAGTAAATTAAATACAACGAGATAGGGTAGAGTCCCTCTTACCTCAAATTGAAGACCCACACGCAAATTTAGCTCTAAAAAGTGTTCTTCACGCAAACTTAGTCCTGAATACATGGAGGAATCTCATAAGGATCAAGGAAAACCAAAAGAACAGAGAATGAGAGAGAGACCAAAACCCTAACCATTAAAACTCACCTTCAAGCGTCCCTAACACGAATCCAACCTTCAATCTAGTTCATGAACGACTTTGGAGGTAATTTAATTGGTAGAAAAAGGTTTGGGGGTGAGAGAATTGAAGGGACCTTAAAGAAAGAAAAGGGAAAAATGAGTTTTCCAGCCCTAACTCCTTTAAATCTTCTCTGGTCGCGACGCTCTCACTACAGCAAAAATATCAGAGAAAACTGCATTCTAGTTTCTGCAGAATCTTGTTACAGCGAGGCCTTCTCGCTACAGCGAGACTACATCCAAAAATGCATTCCAAACTGTTGCTTTGTCGCTATAGTGAGACATTCTCGCTACAGCGACAAGGCGACGGTTTCAAGCCTTTCTCCCAGGGCTCTCTCGCTAAGGACTCTCTCGCTACAGCGAGAATCCCTCAGTATTACATTCTTAATCTATTTTTCAGCCTAATCAATCTAATCCAATCATATACAAATACATTATACGCATCCATATGCACCTATACACACCAACATTCGGTGTTCATCACGCACTCAAGCGCATACTCCAATATTCATTCACATCATACAGATATATATGTTTATATATATATATATATATATATAAATACACAACACGAAAAAGTCCATGCAAACACATATATTAATAATTAAACTATATTATAAAATTTACAGGTTTGCAAGCTAAGTAGGATAGCTGTGAACATGAATTTTACAAATTGCTGAGCCTTTAGTTTAGACGATGTTACTTTACATGCTCCTTTTTCCCAAGTAGTGAGTAGCTGCAGAAAAACATAACACCCTAGAATGAGTCATTCCCATTTCACTGTTTTAAATACAAGTATAGTGATAATTCATTTTGACGTTTTTAAGCTACTGGTAATTCACTTCTCTTTCAAATGATTAGTGACTTCTGATTCTATATCTTTTTGTTCTGCGTTGGAAAGACTCAAATTACTGATTGAAATTTGATAATTTCTCTAAGAGGGATATTGGGAGCATCTGACTCAAGTGACTAAGTCCCACATCAATCAGACTTTTGAAAAGAACACAAAGCTCAGAATATATAAGTTGAATCCTTCGATTGTTTTAAGCATACCTTTCTCGGCCTTTTGGCTAAGATCAAGTGTAGTATCTATTCTTATCAATTTAATATCTGATATGTGAGCCATTGGCTCATATGATATTAAATGAAATTTTTGAGGGAGAGCGTGCATTGTGGTAGCTTGCTACTGTGCCTCTAAAGTGTCACAAATGCAAACAAGCCTTACATTAATATAAACAAATTGAAGATGTTGCCTTATAAAATCAAGCCAAACGAAAGGAAGTACAATAAACTTGCATTTAACATTTGTGTATTTATAAACAATGATTAACATTATGCCAAAACAAAATAAGTCTACATCACACCTTTACAAATTGCTAACATGCTCCATTGTCCTAATTAATGAGTAGCTGTAGAAAAAAAACACTTTTGGCTTTGGTTATATTAATTATGATTGAAGTTTCATTAATTATGATTCGTTGGGCTTTGGTTATATACTTTTTCCTAATTTATAAATCGTGACTAATGCTAAAACATAATGTTATAATTACTGTTTTACTTAGTATCCTTTTTCTCGTTGTTTCTATTCTTTTTCTTGTACTTCTTTCTGATAGAATTTCTTATAAAATTTATTATGGGCTATAATTAATTATGATTTTTATTTTGTCAAAAACAGACTAATATTGTGATTCATTTGATGATATTTAAGCCCGCTAATAATGTGATCAATTATTTGGACCTTGGACACTTAATGTTGATCTAGAGTGGAATTAAGTGTGGGCCTAACCTCTAGGCACATGATGGGAAGTGCCTAGGGTTAATAAATATAGTGGCTAAGTCCCTTTTGCTGTCACGGGTAACACATTCCATTGCTCTCTAAGTTTGCTCCATTGAGAACCTAGGATTAGGAGAGCGTGATTAGACAAAGGAAGTTCTTAGTTTCTCGCTACAAAGGGATCGCATTCTACATAAGTCCACGCACAATCAACGATGTCTACAACAAGTAAGTGACTCTACAAATTATTTTTCAATTGATATTCTAAATTCATGTAATTAAATCTCATTAAATTTGTGCTTACACTTTCTTATTCTTGTTTCTTGTTCTTATGCTTGCTTCACGGTTCTTGTTCTTTTTCTTCCGCATATTTCTTGTTTTTGTTCAACATGGTTTCTTGTTTCTTCTTGTTCTATATGGTCTTTTTATTTCTTTTGAATGTTTCATGTTTTTTTTTATCTGTCTTCTTATCTCTTGTTTTACATAATTTTGTTTCTCCTTGGGCTCATTTCTTCTTTTGCATGTTTCTTCTTTTTTTATTTTTTGTTTCTTGCTCCACATGATCTTTTTATTTCTTGTTCTGAATCATCATCTTATTTCTTTTTCTTCTTCTGCTGGGTGCGTGATCTTGTTTCTTGTTTCTTGTTCTTTTTCTTCTCATCTCTTGTTCCACGTGATCTTTTTGTGTCTTGTTATGCGTGTTTCTTTTTTTTTCTTCTGCTTATTTCTTGTTTTTGGTTCTTTTTCTTCTTATCTCTTGTTCTACATAATCTTGTTTCTTCTTGTTAGTGTTCCTCCTTCTTTTGCATGTTCCTTATTCTTGTTCTTCTTGTTTCTTTTTCTTATGCACGCTTCAAGTTTTTTGTTCTTTGCATTTTTTTTGTTTCTTGTTACACAATCTTCTTCTGTGTGATTTTTTTCTTGTTCTTTTTCTTCTTATCTCTTGTTCGACATGATCTTTTTGGTTCTTGTTCTGCATATTTCACATTTCTTGTTTCTTCTACGTGATCTTGTTTTTTGATCGTCGTGTTTCTTGTTTCTTCTTCTTCTGCTTGAACTTGTATCTTGTTCTGCTTGATTCTTGGTTTTGTTTTTTTTTTTCTCTTTTTCCTTCTTTTGCATATTTCTTGTTCTTTTTCTTAATTTTTACATGCTTTTTATGATCTTGTTTTATGTTCTTGCGCTTCTTTTCTTGTTTTTGTTTCATGTTTCTTGTTTTGCATGCTGCTGTTTTTTATTTTTGTTGCTATTTGCTTATTATTATTATTACCACAGTTTGGCTTAGTATGTTTTTTTTTTTATCATTAGACAAAGCTCTAATACAGAGACAATAGTGGTTTCACCTGATCCCTACTACACGTTGCACCATAGTCAGAGTAGTATTATGAGTATGGGTTAGTCTAAGTACATTTTACTACGAGTATTAGAATTTTCATTTATTGATGAGAAATATAATATCGTTCACTCTTTCATTTTTTTTTTTTATAATATTATGTTGATCTTTTTTTTGTACTTCTATTCTCACTCTACCTACTTCTGTGAGATACAAGTTCTGTTCATTTTAAAGTTGGATATGATTTATTTTTAAAAAAATAATTTTAAATTACTGAAAATTGAGATGTATACTTTAAAATATTAAAAGTATGTTTGATTTTTTTTTTTTAAAAGAATTTTCTATTTTTTTTAAATATATTATAAATTTATACTATATTTGAAAAAATAATTTTTTTTTAAAAAGAAATTAAACATACTCTAAATCGTTCAAGATAAAACAAAAAAGAAATACAAGACTGCAGAAAGCATCCCTCCCTTGCTATATTTTGTATGGAAACTGGTGTCGAGATCCATATTTATAGGGATTGTGTGAGGAATTGCGCATTCTGACTAAGCCCGTTAACAATTTTTGCCCTGCTTACAGTTTTTTCATTACACACAATGTTTTATTTGTCTATTTACAAGGAAATTGATTTTATGGCGTTAATTGTTACCCAAATTTTATGATTTTGCAACAATAATGTTATTACCAGCACAACTGTTAGGATCGAGTTTCAAATTGATATGGTGCTAATCATAATACAAGCTTTATCTAAAATAAGAATATTTTTTAACAGCATTTTTTTTAATTACCATTTATAGTTGAATGATGTCCGTTTTCTTTTGCTTCGAGAGGGATCTTATGACCAAAATGTCCACAGCAAGCAATGCTTGTTAGTCTTCATTCTGATATTGCTTTTAACTAAAAAATCTAATCAATTACAACAGCTTTCCTTCTTAAGAGAAACTCCATAATGAAAACAAGGAACAAATTTAGTTAATCTTCACCAATAGTCATACATTTATTTCATGACATGTTTGTTCAATTAGAGGACCTACAAATCTTCCTAACTTCTCCATCATTCCCAGTGAGCACATTAAGAGAACTAAGCTTAACCATGACCTCAGCAAACCTCTTTCTAAACAATTCAGCATCAGCTGCCATCTGTTGCACAATAGGGGTAGTCCTAAGATCAGCGATCAAATGAGAATCCGTAATGAGCAAAGACTTCTTTCTCTCCACCAAGTTCTTGAAGAAGAGGTTATCAAGCAGAGTTGGTGTCTCATCAAAACTCACAGGGGGGTTTCTATACTGAGGAGTCCCTGGGTCCTTGCATTCCCCTTTTAGTTCATTAATCACTGGACCAGGAAGTTCAGGGTCTGGTTTCCCACTCTTCTGAAAGTTGTTCAACCTTTCCACAAACACATCACAATGAGCATAACCAACCGAATGTGCACCAAGTAGGACAACCATTTCTTCTGCATTGAACCCTTTTTTATTGAAGAGTTCTAACATTTGATCCATGGACCAGTTTGGCAAAGGGAGGTTGTTGTCTTCAGCAACGGTTGCACGTGAATCCAATCCATCTCTTCGACCACCAAGGGGTTTTCGAGGTGGCAAACCAGCCAGTGTCATTGCCTCGTTGGTTGCAAATGCCAGTGTGTCAGCACATGAAACTGTTTGGGGACACTGTTCCTCTAGTTTTGTCTTTATTTCATCGATTAGATCAGCTCCTTTCAGGAGTAGACCGTTGAACATTGAGCTTTTCTCAACTTGGTCCCCACCGTCTCTTGAGTAATCTAGCAAGACCGATGCGTCGCATCCCTGTTTTATTAATTCCATCGTGGCCATGTTCAGGTTAGAAACTCATCATAACATGATCTTATAGCTACAAGTCTCTCCTCATTGATGCACTCTGAAATAATGACTTTTATCCAAGGAAAAAAAAGTAACACAATTTTGTCCCTAAAATTAATACCTCATTTGATTCTTAGCATTACCGAAAAAAAAAAGACAAATTTATTGATGAATTTAATAATTACTTTGAATCTTTTCATGTTGTTAACTGACATGATATAATCATTAAAGATATAAAGATACAATTGTTATTAATTTTAATCAACGGGACTTACAACCAATTAAAGTGACTCATTGCTTGATAAAAATGGTCTAATTTTTCTCTTTAGCATGATTATATCACGTCGCTTATCAACTTAGGAAGATCTAAATATGTCAATTTAACTCTTAATACAAGCAAACATTAATTAATTTAGTCTCCTAAATGTCTATTGCCCTGAAGACCAAATCAGTTGATGACTGTTAAATGTTAGAATTAAACTATTTTCATAACATTAGAAATTACTTGCATGTTTATAAACTCTTTGAATATAATTGCTTAAATTTTTTCATGATATGTTTGTTCAATTTCCTTAAGAAAGCTGACAACAATAAATTAATATTTTTTCAAAATAAGTTAAACTAAATATATATTAAATTGACTTATTATATCAGTTTTAAGCATCAATTGACTTACAATAATCAAAATTATGGACTTAATTTGATTTTTCATGATTAAATTGATAAATAAAGTTAGTTTAAAAAATTACGTACATTTTTAACTAAAAAAAATTGTATATAAGTGTTATATTTATATTCTATTGCAATTACGAACTTTGGTTATGATATGAAAAATTTCGAGAGAAAAAAAGACAAGGATGTGTAATGGTATAGAAAAGCTTACAACAACGAAGCAGTCATGGAACTGAAGACGAATGAGGTTAGCAACTGCGTTTGGATTTTTCTTAATAGTATTAGCGAGCACATCAGCCACAATTTTTTCTGCATTTGGGCAAGTGTCGCTGTAGAACCCTTCCCTGAGATTAGGATTCAATTGATTAGTTTGTTTATCATCTGTCTTGTCCTGTTCATATTCTTGTGGTGGTTCTTCTACACGACCTGGAAATCCAAATGGAAATGGAAATCGAAATGGTAATTGTGGGTTATGTAATCCTTCTGCAGCTTTGGAAGGAACAAGGAACAAGTGGAATAATAAAAGGGACGTAAGAAAGATTCGTGTCATTTTCTTGTCAATAATAAAAACAACTAAATGTTTCTAATGGGGTTGCGATGGCACCAAAGGGGAACAGAGGTAGGAGAACCTTTTATAACCGAAGAATGTGTTTTTTTGGAAATCTTGAGGTTGTTATTATGGACAGGTGGTTCCCACGATGTGGGAGATCTTTTTGATGTTTTATTTATGTTGTGGTGTTTGATTGAGGAAGTCAAAGGATGGTCTAAGGCAAGTTGTGTTGGCGAGAGCCAATAGAATAGAACATGCAATGTCAATAGTTTGAGGGTGTGAATATTATGAATTTGTCTATATTTAGTTGGAACCTTTATTTCCTAGTTGCTTGCTTATCCGTAGGATGGGAAGTTTGACCAATATGTTAGGGAGTCAAGCAGCTTGCTAAACCTCTCTTTTTTCCCCCCCTTAAATTCTTGCTCGTTATAGGCAGATGAAGGAATTGGCAAGGAGAATTGGTTGCTCTAAACATATTAGAAAACCGAACCGGCCGGTCATCAATAATGAACCAATGTAGAACCAGAAAAAGAAGAAAAAGATGACTTGATAAAAAATTTATAATATAAAGAGAAAATATAAAATAAATATATGAGAAAAAAAGGTATACAAAAGTCAAAACCTAACATGTTTTCATGAGAAAAGATAAATTTATTGTAATTACAATAGATGCTTAACACTACATATACTAATAAAAATAGATGGTGGTAAAAATTATTGTATACAATCACAGTAAAAATCCACAACATTACATGTTAAGCATCTATTATAATAAAATTTTAGTAAGAGTTTTAAAAAATATTAATCACCATTAGTTTGAAGCATATAAAAATAATAAGTTTTATTTTAAGAAAAAATTATTCATTATACTTTATATTCTTAATATAATATTTTTTATAATAAAATATTTTATTTAAATGCTTAAATCGGTTTTAGCTTTTAAATACCAAAGTCAACAAAACAAAGCAAAAAATTTAACTTTGGCTAGTTAGTTTGAACTTAGTCCTAGGAGAATTAGTTTCGAATATGGCATTATAGTTTACGACCAAGTATGAGATTCTTGTCACATTTAATTCTAAAATCCCAAAGTTATTACGGTTCGAATCAAAATGACTGACACATGAGACATTAAAAAAACAAGAAACCTCAGATTACATTTACTAACTTTTGCCGCTCGTCTACATTCAAGTGGCATTAAACTACATGTAGCTTATGACCAGTGATGGCATCGTAGCTATTTAATTTGGTGGAATTAGTCTATGGCTTTTGCTCTTCAACTTAGTATCAATTGGCCAGTATTGCCGTCGGAGATCCCACAAAAGATACCCCACAGGCATTATTGCCACCAAAAAATTGTATTATAATCATCATCACAATTTGTATAATCATGCTAAGTGGAGAATGTTTGTGTTTCTTGAATGAAACAACAAGAAGATATGACAAGTGCAACGGTTGCACTTAGAAACCTTCTCATTGCATTCTTGCTTCTCAATTTCCTTCACTATTGAAGAAGTTTCATGATCACAACTATGGCTTCTCTTACTCAACTTCTTTCTCTTTTCCTCCCTCTTCTAGTAACTTCATGTGTACCTGCTGAATCTTCCCTTGAAGTTTCTATCAAATCAACCTACTTGGAACCTTTTAATTGCTCTACAAAGATCAGGACATGCAATGCCTCACTCTACCACATAAGCTATGATCTCAACATAAATCAAATAGCCAACTTTTACTCTGTTAATCCATCCCATATCAAACCCATAATGCGTGGGACCAAACAGGATTACCTTATAACTATACCTTGTTCTTGCAAAAACACTATTGACCTTAGCGGATATTTCTATGATACAACCTACAGAGTGTTGCCTGATGACACTTTTGTGGACATCAACAACCTTGTTTTCAGTGGCCAAGCTTGGCCTATTGATGGAGAATTGGTCCCAAATGAGAATTTAACAATACATCTTCCATGTGGGTGCTCAGAGAAAAGTGACTCTCAAATTGTTGTCACCTATACAGTGCAGCGGAATGATACTCCCACATCGATTGCTATTCTGCTAAATGCTACGGTTGATGGCATGGTGAGTAGGAACGAAGCTTTGGTTCAGAACCCCACATTCATTGATGTTACTTGGGTGCTATATGTTCCTATGGAATTGAATGGGTTACCACTTTCCAAAGGAAAAGGTGACCATTTCTCTATCTCATCCTTTACAGTATTTGATTATGCATGATATTTACTTGTTTACTTTCATCTGTGAATTGGGTTAATTTAGTGTTTTTGTTTGGCGTACTGCCACAACATAATGATTCATAAACTAAAAACTACACTAAGCTTGGAATATTGATTCAGCATATTCTGGACTAATTCCAAAAATAGAACTGTATCCCACGATGATAAGGAATATGATTAAAATTATCTTTTTAAGACATGACAATCTTCCATTTACTTCCATCCTCCTCTATTTCTTTTTATCCTTCAAAATTATTGCAAATAAAGGACACGTTTTTTAATAATCTATTTCTACTTCCTTACATAATATGTTTCCCTTGTTTCAATCATAGAAATTGGTTTAATTGGGCAATGAACTTGTAACTTTCACCGATTGTTGTTCACTGACCGGTGAAGTTTAGAAAAATGTATAGAAAGAAAATAAAAAGATGCATTTATGCTTGAAAGCACTCTAATTTCTCTAACTTGGTTTTCCCTTGTTTACAGGAATGAAACTCAAGTGGGTGATAATCATTGGCATCTTAGGGGGTGTGGCAGTATTTTCAATTATTACCTTAATCATTCTCATCGTCGTTGTCAGGATAACCAGAGCCCATGAAACCAGAAATAATGATCCGAATTCTCTCTCTAAAAGGACAATTTCCAATAGAACTGTTTCCTTAAAGAACCGAAACTTTCATACAGAATTTATGGAAGGTAACTTGAAAAGAAATTTTAGCAAGCAAAAGCAACTTATATTTCAAAAATACAGTTTTCAATGATATCTAAACAGCTCTACAAGGAGAACAATTGTTGCTTATTCGTGGTAAATTTTGTGTAGATGCAACACAATTTGAGTCAGAAAGACCAGTAATTTATACTCTTGAGGAGATAGAAGATGCCACTAACAACTTCAATGAAAACCGAAGGATTGGAGTTGGTGGATATGGGAGTGTGTATTTTGGAATGTTAGGGGAGAAGGTATGAGAATTCCACTTAGATTCTTTAATGGCCTCAATAATACAGGCACATTTTTTTTATGTGCTAACTAGAAATTGGAAAATGGTAACTACTATAATTTTCAGGAGGTTGCTGTGAAGAAGATGAGGTCTAATAAATCCAAGGAATTCTATGCAGAACTCAAGGCCTTATGTAAGATCCATCATATTAACATTGTAAGTAAATTTTATGAAGTGATCTTTGACATAGGCTTAAAAAAATCTAATATTTGATTATACTATAGATATAATCACTATTTCAGGTGGAGTTGTTAGGATATGCTAGCGGAGATGACCACCTTTATTTGGTGTATGAGTATGTTCCAAATGGATCTCTCAATGAGCATCTTCATGATCCATTACTGAAAGGTATATAATGACTCTAAGATCTATTTGCCTTTCAAAATTTATGAACCTATGAGATTTGTTCTAAAATGCCATAGACCAAGAACAGTTGAATAAGGTGAACAATTGATTGGACCGAAGTTAGATAATATATCAAGAATTCTAAACCATGGCACTGGAACAGGTCACCAGCCTCTTTCTTGGTGTGCTAGGATTCAAATTGCACTGGATGCAGCAAAAGGCCTTGAATACATACATGATTACACAAAAGCACGATACGTGCACCGTGATATAAAGACTAGTAATATTCTTCTTGATGAGAAGCTCAGAGCAAAGGTACTTACGATAAAAAAAAATGCCTCCAATTTAAAGAAAAAATAATCCGGAACTAGTTACAGTTTTTTGTACATGACACGTTAACCTGAATTAACTATTCAAGTTGTCATATGATAACATTAACATTTATACGTAGTTTGACAAACAAGTTGACCTTCAAACATTGTACTTGTCTTTTTAAATATACCATTCCTCTCCATTAAAAAAAATACAATTAGCAACAAATTTTCAGTAGTGATTTGGTGGATATTAAATTTATTTCATTTATTTTGTAAAATTATATTGACTTCTAATCCAATAAAAAATTATAGCAAGAGAAGCATAAGAATATTTTAAAAAATTATTAAAAAGAATTTATGAAAAATATTATTTCAAAAAAATTGATTTTTTTTATAACGATATGTGATTCATATACTTAACCTTGCCTGGTGTGAAACAAGATTCTGTTTTACATTAAGAAAGTAACATTGAATCAAGTCCATGTACTTACTCAGTTCAAACCATTTACTTGACGTTTGATACGTAGGTAGCAGATTTTGGACTTGCAAAGCTTGGAGAACGAACCAATGATGAAGAATTTATAGCGACAAGGCTTGTTGGAACACCAGGCTACCTTCCACCAGAGTAGGTTTTGTGCTTTCCAATCATGACTTGGCTCGGTGTGTTCAATAGATAAATAGTTTTCTTGCTATCATTACATGCTTAAACTCTAATTTTTCATCTTACCTTACTATATTTCACTTCCTCCTTTTAGATCTGTGAAGGAGCTTCAAGTGACCGTGAAAACGGATGTATTTGCATTTGGTGTAGTTCTATCAGAGTTGATAACAGGCAAACGTGCGCTATTTCGTGAAGCCAACAACATGAAATCTCTTATTACCGTCGTAAGTCAAACTTTTTTTAAAGAAAATTAGACAGTAACGGCGAGAGAAATTGAAATCAAGATATGATCAAAATGATGCCTACAAAAAATTTAATAATTTTTTTAACTGACTAAAAATACGTAATAAAAACATAAATTTTTATTAGACATTGAAGAATATTATAAAATTCAAATAACATTAATATTGTAATTTTTTAAATAAAAAATTACTCGTTTTTATTGTATGTTCTTGTACAAATTAAAAAAATTTATTATTTTAAAGGGAGGAAGATGATCTGTTTTTTCATCACATTCAGATTGGCCAAATATTCCAAGCGGATGAGCCAGAGACTGCTTTAGCAGATTCCATTGATAGGAATCTTCAACATAGCTATCCTATGGAAGATGTCTACAAGGTTAGATTCTATCTAAATCTTCTATCTTCATTCACGTACATATATTCCGGTTTATTTAATATCCCTTTACAAGACTCAATTGATATTTTGAAAAAAAATTAAGCTTAGACACAAACATTTGATTTGATAGATAGCATTTGAACATACCATTGGTGGTACCTTTGATTAACAAAATTTACTGTGTCTTTAGAGATAATGTTGCATTTCTCATAATGTATATCTGTGCCCGTTTATATCGATGTAGCAGATGGCAGAACTAGCTCATTGGTGCTTGTGCGACGATCCAACGGACAGGCCTGAAATGAGGGAGATGGTTGTGGCATTGTCACAGATTGTAATGTCCTCCGTAGAGTGGGAAGCATCACTGGGTGGAGACAGCGTCTTCAGCGGGGTATTTGATGGAAGATGATGAACACTCTTTGTTAATTGTATGCTAATCCTTGTCTTTGCTGTGTTATTATTGTTAATATATTAATCTCTTGTATCTAGCTAATAGAGATTTTGAATAGAGTAGAATATTATAGGATTAAATCGTGATATTGACTCCTTAATATACCAAAAAAATGTTTAAAAAGATGGAACATGTAACAATTTTTTTGCCTCTCAAACATAATTGAGGCGAGTTAAAACCGCGAGCAGAATAAGAAGCTGCTTGAGTGATTGGGGGGTGAAACGCACGATAATCGGTTGCATCAGCGTTAAGTTTCTGATCACCTTTACAGATATTTTAAGTGAGATAGTTTTGTTGGAACTTCTATGCAATTATTTATTTAAGATAACTAATTAAGTTAAAATAATCTTGTACTAGATTTACTACGTATTTGAGAGTTATATTTTTATATACTTTAAGAAAATATTTTAATTTGTATTTTAATTATAAAACTATTGTTTAACTTCTTATTTTCAAAAATTTATATAAAAATAACTTTTTAATTTTAAAATATTTCTCATATAAATTTTAGACACAAGAAATACATGAAAATAAAATAATATTTTAAAATTAAATTTAAAAATAAAAATAAAAGACATTTGTGCAAAATAAACAAACTCATTTATATTAATTTAGATTTTTAACAAAATTAGTACTTGGCCCTATAATGATATATTCTTTATTCAATCTATTTATTTTATTTTGAGTCACTAACTTTAAAGTATAAAATAGACAGTTCTTTAATATATTTATTTATATTAAAATTGATCATAAAATTTTATTTTTAAAAAGAAGTATAATTTTGTAAAAATTTTAAAAATATTTTAATTTAAACATGTCTTAAAGGACAAAAATAAAATTTGTTACAATTAAGGAGTAAATGCCTTCTTTTTTTTTTGACAAAAACTTAATCACGGTACTAAATATATTTTTGTACCATTTTCTAATGAAAATTGAAGGTTTGATTTAGTAATATGCACTGATTTTAAAAAACCGATTATTTTAAAACCAAATTTTATTACACAAATTGAAAAGTTCCATTTTCATAACATGTTCAGATATTTCACACCAACTTTTTACTACACAATTTACTGAAATAAAATTGCAAATTTAATTAGGAAGACCGTAATTTTCAAAATCTAAATTGCTTCAAAACCAATAAATAAAATAAGAATTTATTTTCTCCCTTTGATGCAGCAACGGCGTCGTTGTGTGACAGTCCTCCTTCTTCTTTCTTCTTCGTCTTTGTTGACGGTGACGCTAATCTGATTGGATCCAATCTAGGGATTGGTCACAGCCCCAAGCAATGGCAGGAGCAGCCTCTGCTCTGTTCCTTCTCGATATCAAAGGCCGCGTCCTCATCTGGCGCGACTATCGCGGCGATGTCTCCGCTGTCGACGCCGAACGCTTCTTCACCAAACTCATCGAAAAACAGGTTCGGTTCCATTCCTCACTCTTACACTAAAAACATTCATTCTCTACACTCCGAATTCAACTCGTTTTTCTTCATCTCTGAAGGCCGATCCGCAGGCACAAGATCCGGTTGTGCACGATAACGGTGTGACATACATGTTCATACAGCACAGCAATGTTTACCTCATGATAGCCACCAGACAAAACTGCAATGCCGCTAGCCTTCTCTTCTTCCTGCATCGGATCGTCGATGTATGCGTTCTTGTCATTTTAACCTTTTTAATTGAGAATTAAGTGTGTTTTGAATAATGAGCGATCAGTGCGATCCGTGTTTTTGTGTTAGGTGTTTAAGCATTATTTTGAGGAATTGGAAGAGGAATCGCTTAGGGATAACTTTGTCGTCGTGGTAAATGCTGACGTGACTTTGAATTCTAATATTTTTGTCTTGATCAATTGAGTGAATGATTTCATTGAACTGTGTTGTTTTGGTGATTGGATTTGCTGTGTCGTTGATAGTATGAACTACTTGATGAAATTATGGACTTTGGTTACCCCCAATATACTGAGGCGAAGATTCTGAGTGAGTTTATCAAGACTGATGCTTATAGAATGGAAGTTACGCAGAGACCTCCCATGGCTGTAACTAATGCTGTGTCGTGGCGCAGCGAAGGGATAAACTACAAGAAAAATGAGGTAGCCTTTAGAAAAGTGAAGAATCTATAGCATTTTGAATTGTAATTTGATGGTTTATGTAACCAAATTGTACTTTAATACTTTGTGTTCAGGTTTTCTTGGATGTGGTGGAGAGTGTTAATATACTTGTCAATAGCAATGGTCAAATAATTAGATCTGATGTTGTTGGGGCATTGAAGATGAGAACATATTTGAGGTTTGCTTTCTACTACTTTCCTTGAGATATGTTGAATTTCTAGGTATAGGTTTAAGATGGGCTGTTAACTAACTAGGTATTTCCACTGTTGATTGCTCTGTCTCAATTATAAAATGTTGGCTTAGAGTATATTTCATGCCGATGTCAGTTTTCTGGTTTTATGTTTTGGGTGCTTTTGTTGCTGTGTCTACTAATGTGTGCAGGGTATAGTACATTATCTGGGGTTATTGGAGAGGACAGAAGGGGTAGATTAGGGATCAGAGAACCAAGCAAAAACTGAGTCTATATGTAAATAATGTAATCTATTTTAAAAGCTTAAATTTGAGGAATTAAAATTAAATTTGCAATATGGACTTGAAGTATGTCACTTTCTGTGTATATTTTGTGCTGATTACAAAAGCTTTTGGTTGCTTTATTCATTTGGTGCTATTGAGGCTCTCTTTTGCAGCTCATGCTACACACCTATTTGAGATATTGCAGACAGGTCCAACCAGTGGATCCATTTTTACTCCCTATACTTATAACAGTTGAGAGTTGTTTGGAAGACTGCATTAACTGTGAAGTAACTATTAATTTAACTGACTTCTATGATAGAGTATGTATCTGAAAACTCAAATATGCCTCTCTGATGCAGTGGTATGCCTGAGTGTAAACTTGGCTTAAATGATAGAGTATTATTAGAGGCACAGGGTAGAGCAACAAAGGGAAAGGCCATTGACTTGGAAGACATCAAATTTCATCAGTATGTATGCTTAACTTGTCTTTACAAACAGGTTATTTTGACTGAAAATTTGGATACATTTTTTAAGCATGTTTCCTCTTGATGCTTGTTCTCAAATTATGTCTGGCATATTATGAAGGTGTGTGCGATTGGCTCGATTTGAAAATGATCGAACAATTTCCTTTATACCACCTGATGGGTCATTTGACTTGATGACATACAGGCTTAGTACACAGGTTCATCTTCTCTAGATGTGAATTAAGTTTCTGTTCCAGGAAAGTAAGATTAAAAGCATTTTGAAGTCTGTTGATTCTACCATCTCTTTTTTTTTTCTTTTTTTTTCAGGTTAAGCCATTAATTTGGGTGGAAGCAAATGTTGAAAAGCATTCAAAAAGCCGGATTGAGATTATGGTAAAAGCTAGGAGTCAATTTAAGGAACGTAGGTACTGAGATTTTTTCTTTTCTTATATCTGTTGCCTTTTTGCCCTCTCTCACTGTGATGATAGAAGACGGAACCATTTCCCTTAAATTCATGTAATGAGGTTTTTGCTCAAGGAGTTGGACTGTCCTAAACGTCTTTGCTTCCCCAACTAATAGAATTTATTTTATAGCACTGCCACAAATGTTGAGATTGAGTTGCCTGTGCCTGTTGACGCAACCAATCCAAATGTTCGAACTTCAATGGGATCTGCAGCATATGCACCTGAAAAAGATGCATTAATCTGGAAAATTAGATCCTTTCCTGGAGGCAAGGTATGAGTTCTCTTGGAAATGGCAATCAATCCTTAAATAACACCATTCTTGATACCTCATTTTGATTTTGATTTATTGGATTTGGTTTCTCCTATTTAATACTTTCAGGAGTATATGTTAAGAGCAGAGTTTCGTCTTCCCAGTATAACAGCTGAGGAAGCAACTCCTGAGAGAAAAGCTCCTATACGTGTGAAATTTGAGATACCATATTTTACTGTTTCTGGAATACAGGTATTGATACATAAGCATGGATTTCTTATATTCAGAATATTGCTAGGCTATTTTTTCAGCATTGGAAATATTGTTAGCTTCTATGTCTGATTAAATTTGGGTGAATTTTCCTTTATTCTAATCAAATATTATTAATCTCTTCCTTCGGTCTCTCTTCATTTGCCTTTTGTTGTATACTGATAGAAACTTTTATCTTTGCTGACGTTTCAACTATTTCAATGGGTTTTTTTCACAGTTCAGTAGATACCAGAAATTCACAAGAAATGTTTATAAAAGTAATATTAAAATAGAGAATATTTGATAGTGGAAAAAAGAACTTGACATCAGATTAAGATCAGAAACTAATGCACTTGATTCTATGCCATTGTCCATGATTAATAGTTTCGGGAAGTAGTTTGTTTGAACTATGTGAATTGCACAAAACTAGACCATCTAGATGAAACTACTGCAGCCACATGATACATTGGTGAAATTAAAATTTGCCACATATTTTGACGGTGTTGTTCAGTTAGCTGAACCTTTGATTGGGTTGATGAAGATGGTAATCAACCTGTAAATGTTTTGGTTTTATAGGTAAGATATTTGAAGATTATTGAGAAAAGTGGGTATCAGGCTCTACCATGGGTGAGATACATAACAATGGCTGGAGAGTATGAACTAAGACTTATTTAAGATCTTGTATCTTTTTTGGTTGCTTCAATTCCACCAAATAATCGTGTCATCTTCGGTGATCGATGGCTTTAAACTGGTGGCCGGAAGAGGAACGCATGAGAGAAATTAGTCACAGCTTATTTGGCCTAATCATCTGTCCCATTATGATAGTTGTTTTGGCAACAGATTGTAAGCTGCTCATTGTCTTTAAGCTCATTACTAAAACTCAGGAATTGGCAAGTGTAAGACTATCTTCTGTGAATCTGTGTAAGTCTTTGGTAATTTTTTTTCTTTGGGGAAAGTGTTTGTCCCCCCCCCCCCCCTCTCCCCCTACCCCTCCCACTTTTTATTCACGATCTGTCCATCATTTCCCGTTGTCTTCAAATTGTAATTTGATTTACATCTGTAAGAATTCTTAGCTTTTTTTGTTTTACTAAGATTGAATATTTTTTTCCCGCATTATGTTGACAACCTGGCCCTTTCATCGTATTAATATTGTACCATACCCCTTTGTAGTTGATAACCGAGTACCATTAATTCAAGAAGTTGACTGCATGTCAATGGCAAAAAGTAAAGTTGGGTGTTGTATGCTTGAAGTTGTGCGTGTAACACATGGGTTATCTTCAGAGAATATAGATAATTTTCATCTGGATGTTTAGCTAAAAAAAGAAAAGAAAAAAATAGCTCCACTTACTGTCCCGGAAACAAGAGTTCAATGGCGCTTAATGGCCAACAGATTGTGTATACTTCGACAAAACATTATAACCGTAATGCACTTGTGCGCTATTCAACAGTCTAATCGCAATATGTATTTCCAGAACCTTGGATAGTTGTCAACTTCATAGTGGAAATTTCCCGCCCACTTTTTTTTTCTAATTTTTCTCTATACTGGAATTAATTGGTTTTTTCAATCTTGCACTTGCAAGGTTTCTGCTTCTAGTTCTTGAAGAAAACCAAGGCTTCTCTTTTGAGAAATTATTGTATGGTCACAGATTATCACAGATTAGCAAAAATGTGTATTTTTTTTATGCCATTTATGAAAACTTAAAGAAAGAGGATGATGTAGTTAATAAGAAATACACCTAGTGTTTTTTTGGAAAAACGACACAATAAACACCGGAAGAATTTTATCCATGTTTTGTCCTAATTTACAATCTATATGTAGGCGCGCGCGCACATCCGTGAGAGTCCATATGTTGAGCTTGGGAGATGTAAGCAATGTTGAGAAGAAGGATTCAATTCCTACAATCCCTAAAATAACACTCGGATCTCTTAACCTCTCAAACCATGAACCAAAAAAGGAAAAATGTTTAGTACCTTGATTCTAGATGGACTAAGCACTGTTCCGAAAGAAGTCTTCAAGGGACTGAGAATCCGTCAAGGAGGGGGTGCAGTTTCTAATTCTCACCCTCAAATTTTATTAAATTCAATTAAAAATCATTTAATAAATTGAATCAAAAGACAAGATTAATGCAATCCTTTTTACAATTGTAGACCACATTATTTATCATACATATTCTATGTTGCCTTGGAGTTGATTAAGAAGTCTTATGAGTTCAATAGATTTGAGCCCGTTGTGCAAACTATTAAGCTGACGCTAGCTACAGAGGAGAGGTTATTATTTATCATACTCTTAATGAAGGTAACGAGTTTGCTAATTGCTTGGCTGAAAGGGAACCTTCTTCCCAACAGTGCGGGAAAATTTTAATTTTTATTTAAATAAATTTAGATTTACTTAATAAAAATAAAATTAAGCCGTTCAGTTTTCGCATTAATTGGAACATATCCGGATCTCTTATGTCATATAATTTTCTTTATTTTTTATGTAAAAATAAACAAACACATTAAATAAACTTTAATGTATATTTTATACTTTTTTCACTAAAGATATCTTTAATTAAATATTAGAGACTAATTATATATATATATATATATATATATATTGCTGAAATAAATATATCTTTCTTCATAATTAATATACTAAAAAACTTAATTACTTATTAATCAGGTTGGACTTATAAATATATATATAATTATATTATTTTGGATTTAGAAGTCCAAGAATAAAAAATAAAAACTTAATTTTAGACAAAAATAAATGCATTATAAATTAACTCACAAGCTAAACAAATTTAAATTTTGTTATGAAATATTCATATAATTTTTTTATTTTATTTCTACGTCACTCATCCTTTATCACATATTTTAAATGATGTGATAAGGCGGTACTCCAATCATAACTACATAACATAATTTAAAGAATAACATTATTCTCACTAACACTTTCTTATAACGATTTTTTGCGACTATTTTTTTTTTCTCTATCACATCATTAATTATATCTAACACTTTTTTTTTCTAAATGATATTATGAAAAAGTGTTCTAAGAATAACGTTACTCTTAAGTTTTTAATACATCTATTCACGTTCCTTTTTATCATTTGAGAGCCTAATCAATAGTTCAATGAATTCATCGTCCTTGCCCATCATGCTAAGCCTAGCATACTTTGGATCAACACCAAATCGCTGTCCTCCTCTAGCACGGATCTTCAATTTTCCCAGATAATTCTCACAGTTTTCTATGCCCTCCTCGCACTTCAACCATGCAAAACCTGAAAGAATTAGAAAAGTAAACATACATATTACAACCACACAATAAGTTGTAGAAAATAAAATATACATAAAAAGGGAAAAAGAAATAAGGAGAAAACTTACCAGGATATGTTTCAGATGTCTCATTAGTGAAGTTACAATACGCCCTTGGATACTTGGCCACAGTGAAGACCTTGCTTTGTTCAATAACTAGCCTCAATTTCTCCCACCTTTCCCTCAAGATGCGTTTGCTATATTCAAAGAAGAGCTCAGATTCCACGGACCCAAAGTTTTGGTAACTATCACAAAGCACTCCAATGATCTTAGCAGCTCGAGTTTGGGATTCTTTTGACACGCCAATGGAGCTCATTTGCACATATCTGGTCATCTTCTTGGCAACTCCAATGTCCTTCACAATAGCCCACCTTCCCAGCAAATTCAAAATCAAACATATTTGAATAAGAATATTTGAACTAATTAATCACATAGCAATGGCACGGGGTTCCAAGTGCTTAATATTAAAGCTCACAAAATGAACTATCCAATCCGTATTAAATTAATGTGATTTAAAGCTTCCAATTTTGCTGAATTAAAAAAAAGTCTATTTTTTATTTTGATTTTAAAATAGTAGTTCTAAGTTTAAGGTAAACCTATATTTCACAAAAGAATCATTAGTCAGCCTAAACTCGATTGAATATTGTTCAGACAAGTCTAATAAAAAAAAACTCAAAATCAACTCGACCCTAAAATTTAAAATCCAAATCCTATGTGACCCATTTTGCCTGCTGTACTTAATATTACATTTGAAGGGAAGATCAGCAGTTCACTATTTATTGAAATTTAGCTTTTTTACGAGAAAGAAGTGGACGACAAGAACCAGATTCGAGACCACTTTTATGTCATACAGACCGTAGTGTCATGTCATATACTGACAATTCCAATAAGCGTCCGTAAATCATTGTAATAAAAATTGAATTGGACTGGCGGGTTTCATCGGTTGAATTCAAAATTGGTCAAGTTATTGGTAAAACCAATCAAACCAATTAAAAATTTCTTAAAATTGGACAAAAATCTGGCCCAAATATTTATATCAATTTCTCTCATCATGATGCATATTTTATGATAAAACCTTGAACACACACTTCTAATTATAATTAACATTTTAAAAATAAATTTATGAAAATATTTTTATCGAATTTCAAAAATTGTTTGTTTAAACTAGTATAAGAAGACAATGAAATAATTTTATATTGAAAAATATATTCTATTGACATTTATTAAGGTATTTATATCTTAAAAGAGATAGAAAAACAGTGAAAAATATAATATAAAAGAAAAAAAAACAAATAAAGACAAAGGATATTAAATAGAAATCAATATTAACAGTATTTATATATATTATATCTTTGTTAGGCTAACTACTCACCCAACACGGGAACCAGCATGACCAGTGCATTTGGAGAAAGTGAAGAGCATGATATCATGGTCAGCCTTGTGAGTAATGGGAGTGTAATGTGGCCAGTAATAGGCAAAATCATGAACCAGCTTCCCTTCAGCTTTAGAGCTAACAACAGGTCCCCTAATAGTTCCATCAGGGTTGTTTGGAGAGGTCACCACTTCTATGTAAGGTTCATTTTTATCATACTTAGCAGCATCACCACCCCATTGATACAACCCTGAACGCAAAACATCAACCTCATCTTGGTATTCCTGCATAATAATTTCAACTTCAAACACATTAATCATTGTAAACGTCAATTTAATATAAAAATTATAATTAGTAGTGATAAAATAAACATGAATATATATTCATGAAATCAAACACACCGTTAGATCTGATTCTCCGTTTGAAAATTAAGTACCTTCCATGAGAAAAAATAATACTAACAGCAATGATGTTGTGATGTGAGGTTGACCAAAGGGGATTATCAAATTGGTAGACACGAGAGAGACACACCCATGTTACCCATGTTTGAACATCTTCATGTGTGTACATGGATGTGTTCGTTGCATGTTTCTAAACATGCCTAGTGTTTCTAAAAGACATGTCTGTCACATTTTTGGCCCCCAAAAATGGCAAAAAACCATTGAGAGGCTTCATTTGAAATTTCAATTGCATTGCATATCTCACGGTACAGGTGCGTCACAGGGAACAAGGTCAACTCAGTATTCTAAGTTGTAACCGCCATATCAAAGGCCCGCTCTTGTTGGTTACCAAAACGGAGAAATTTGGCAACAGGCATCGCCAAGAGACACGCTTTTTCACAACAAATGCCAATGGATTCCCATGCATGACAACTCACACTGCCATAATTTTCTATTCTTTTTTTTCCTTTAGGGGATAACTCTACTAAACACCTAATTTTATACTAACGTTACCATTGAAAATACACTTTAATTAAATATTTATTGAATAAATTCTTATTAAATGAGTATTTATATTATATATTTCATTATAAAATTTATTACAGTGAATTAAAAAATAACTTATTCTAATACAATGTGAAATATTTTATTTAATACAATAATTTACAAGAGTAATAAATTATTTTTATAATTTAAAAAAAATTGGTAACCGTAACTCTTAAAATTAAATTTATGTATCCAAAAATAATTTTTTATTAAAAACATTTATTATTTTAAAGATATAAAACTATCATAAATAATTTTTTCCTAATAAAACATTTTAACATTAGTATTTTTCATAATAACTAGTGAATTTTTCATGTACTAGTATTATTAAATTAAAATAAATTTTACATAAAAAATTTATCTATAATGTATTAAACTGAATAAATTTAAAAAAAAATATTTCAATTATTACTAATAAATATTAAATCAAATGAAATTAAAGAGATAGATTTATAAGATTAAAAAAGTAAAATTTAAAAAATTAAATGATTGATGCCAAAAAAGGCCAAGTGATCAAAATAAGAAAAAAAAATTTAAAAATAATTCTTAAAAATACTCATTTAAAAATTATTTTGACTCAGAAATTCGCTCTACGTTTCCGTTAGGCTCTGAATTTTTAAGTCAATATCGATCTTTAATTTTTGGCGACTTGACTGTGGGTTTCACAATTCTAGTTTTGACCAAATGGTTTTGACTGAATTTCATAATTAAATTTTATCCTCTTCAACTTAATTAAATAAATAAACGGACAAAACTTTAATCATTAAAAAATTCTAGGAATGAAGAACGTTAGGGACATAATTTTTTTAATATATTCTTAATTATTCATTAATTTTTTCTCATGTTCAAATATTGGATAAGGATAAGAGTAGTTTTTAAATTTTTTATTTTGAAGTTTTGCAAAACAATAGTTATCATGTGATCTTAAAAAAAAAAACAATATTTTTTATCTTTTAAATTTAGAAAATTATAAATATGAAAAAATAAGATTTAATATTCAACTTTTAACATTTTTTGCATGGTTTTATTCTTAAATTGGTTGTTGTTCCTCCTAAACATTAAAAAATATTCAACTTAAATCAATTTAAACTCACATATTATTATAAAAACAATTCTGAAATCAGTTCTGAAAGCGTTTCATATTAGTAAAAAAACATTGAATATGCTAAGCGAATAAAAAATTATAAGTCATACTTGTTACAGTTCGAAACAATTTTCAAAATGCAAATCATTCTCTTGGTAAAACAATAATGTATAGTTAATTGATCAGCGAAAACATGAACTGTTAAATCCAGAGTAACAAATTCGTGCAAATATGGTTACATTTCTTCAAAGATGTTTAAAATATATAGTATATGGCGGCAAATGGATCTAAATCATGTGTTTTTGTGTACTATCTTTTTCTTAAAGAAATTGTTTGGTAAACGCTCTTCATGTGAAAAATATTTATTTAAAAAAAGAAAGAAAGGAGGGATAGATATAATAAATAACGTAACTGCTAAAATAAATAAAATATGTTAAATATTTATTTAAAAAAGAAAGAAAGAAAGAAGAGATAGACATAATAAATAAGGTAACTGTCAAAAAAAATGTGAAATAAGTAATGACTCAGTAAAAGAAATTAAAAATTAAAATGATGTTTAATTTCATAAATGAAAAGATAAGTTTGAATGACGTGTGAATGGATATAGAGAAAAAAGGGTATAGTCACCGAGTAAAATGGAGCAGCAGCGACAACGTTGATGGGTTGAGGAGCCTCTGAAGAGAGAGCAAACAAAGCAGCTTGGAAGAGCTGAGTGGCGCCAGTCCCCACCACGATGTGTTTGTCTTGGGTGACAGCATTGCCAACCACATTGTGGAGCCTTTTTATTGCATCTCTTAGCTCTCCCAACATGTACCAACACACGTTGCTTGGATCACTCAAATAACTCATCAACTCACACCCTTTTATCACCACTGTGCACTCTTCACTCTTCTTCCTCCAATACGACCCGAACACCAGTGGATCACCCCTGTTGTCATGCCACAATTCACATCAACATTAAACTTCACTTCAAAATATGAACAACTAAGATTGAAGTTAATAAAACCATAATAATAATAATAATAAAACACATGACATGACAGTAGGATCAAAAGGAAAAGGAGCCAATGAATTACTTCTCAAGGTCGAGGAAGGAATTGGATGAGAGAGTGGAGAGGGGCATTGTTGTGCCATTGGAACAAGGGAAGATGTTCTTGACGACCACCATTCTTGAATTCTCTTGTTTTTGTTTCACAATGGGATTCTTGTTTCCCCTTATTTGGTAGAGCTGTGTGACTGCTTCTTAGGTGTGTGATGACTGATATGTGCATTATATATATATACACATGAGAGATACGTGGATGGTGCGTGAATCTAAACTCTATCCTTTTCTCTCATTAATTTCTAGGAGGAATTTTTTCACGTGAAACTCGTCCCAAGTTTTATCAAGGCATGGATTATGCTTCCAAACAAAAGTGATATATTAAGCTGAAAATCTAAGTTAACAGTAAGTTTTTCGTTTATTTAACAAATATTATTAAAGTAAAAAAAATTAAAGTTATATTGCATTATTGTTAATTTTAAATTCAATAAATTAAAAATAAATATTTATAAATGATAATAATAATAATAATAATAATAATAATAATAATAATAATAATAATTTTATTGTATTAATCAAATCTAAATTTAAAAAAATGATTTTTTAAAACAAAAATTATCAAATTTTTCAAATTTAAAATTTAAATTAAATTGAAAAAACGTTTAATGTAAATAAATGAAGAAAAAATAACTATTAAAAATATGTTTATTTAAGATATTTTTAAAAATGTTGTCTTTTAAGAGTAATGACTCAGATCTAATATACAGAGATAAAATAAAACTTGAAAATATTTTCTTTTTGCTGAAAATCATTTTATCAAACACTTTAATTTTGGTTAAGAAAATTGATAAACCAATTAAATAAAATATCCAACAATAACAATGTCTTATGGAGAGTGAGGACAAATGTTGGTTGAAATTGCATACCAACCAAACTAAAAAATCGAACTAAAAAATAAAGTAATGGTCATTAGATGAATCATAACTGTTATTCTATATACATACTTTTAAAAATATTTTAATTTTTTATATAATTGAATATTATTAGCATAAGCTTATAATCTTTGTGCTAAAAAATTAATTTTTGTTAGAGAAAGCATGTATTAACAATGGCTAATTTAACAATAAAGTGTTAGTAAATGACATTTCTTTATAGTGTGACAAAAATAATAATTTTTTTGAGTCTATCGTTTAAAATGTTTAATAATATAAAATATAAATAAATAAATATTAATTAAGAGAGAGAAAATGTTGAAAGGATTTATTTTAAGAAAAAAAATTATTTTTCATATTACATGTTAACCAATTAATATTTTTTGTGAGAAAATATTAATAATATATAATTTTTTTAGGAACCTTATTTATTTAATTAGAGACCTAAAATAAATATTTACCATAACAATAGAATCTCTTGATTGGAATCTTCTTTCAATCAATGAGAAGTTGAAACCGGGACTATTGACAGGAAAATAAATAAAGTAAAATAATATTAACGATACATGTTCCTAAAGGCCAGTCCCCAAATTCTATGGATAAGTTTAAAGAAATAATATTTAATTAAGGAATTTATGATAGAATATATATATATATATATATATATATATATATATAAGAGAATTTATAATTTATTTTTGACCTTTTATGGGTCTATTAGGCAAAAACAAATAAGATAGGAATAGTTAATAAATGAAAAAATGTCAAATAAAGGTATCATAATTAAGCACATTAAAATTTTAGATTTTAGTATGTTTTATTTATTTAAATTCTTCAATTATATTTAAATATAGATGATAAAATTCAATTTTATTTTTATTTCTAAATATTTTGTAATAAAAATAAAATTTTATGACTTTCTTAAATAATTTTAAGACATTAATAATTTATTATTTTCTAAAATAATGAGTATCGTGACATATATTTTTTTTTTATTATTTATGACCTATTTTTTCATTTTTAAGGCAACAAAAAAAAAATAAAACAATAAAGTTTAAGAAATTAAACAGATAAAAAGAAATTAGTTAAAAACAATAGGGAGAAATTTGTCAAAATCACGTTCAGTTAGTAAAAAAACCTGCTAATATCAATAGCATTAGAAAAAAACACTACTAACTACTTATTTCAGTTACTTCAATAAATAATATTATTCTATTAAACAAAATTTTCAAGTAATAAAATAAACTTTCAGCTAACTGCTTATTAAATATATTCTCCTTATCATTTTTTTAAAATAATTAAAAATTTTAAATAGTGTAAAAACACAATATTATATTTAACAAGGCAATAAAGAATTTTTTTCAATAATAATAATAATGAGTTGAAACCGTTACTGAAAAATAGTTAGCGTAAGAACAAATTATAAAATAGTGGAATAAGCATGTATTAAAAAATATTTTTATTTTTTGTCCAACATGCTTCCAAGTTAAATAATTTATCAAATATATTTAAAAAATTATAGGCTATGTTTATTAAAAGGTTAAAAGGCTGATTTTAGCTGATTTTTTAGGATAAATTATTCAAATAATTTATCGAACTAGCTTATAAAAAAAAGGGTATAGAAATATAAAAAAAAAAGGGTATAGAAATATATTTTTTTTAACAGACAGACACACACACACACACACATATATATATATATATATATATATATATATATATATATATATAAATACTTCATTAAAATATTTAAAGTCAAATACTTCATTAAAAAAATAAAATTAGTATAATATTTCAAATAAATTATATAATATTAAATAAAAATATATAATAATATTAAATAAGGCAATAAATTAGGAATTTAAATAAACATTCCATAAGAACAAATAAACTATACGTGTAAATAATATTTTAAGCAGCGTATGAAAAAAAATGTTACTAGTTAATAATATAAATTCACTTACCAAATGCTTTTATTTGGTCAAATGACCTTGTAAATTAATTAAATAAGTCATAAACCATATAAATAACTTCCCAAATACAGTGCACTAATTGAAATCTATTCTGTATAAATAATCAATTTCACATCAGCATTGAATATTATATTTATTAATTTAAATTTATAATTACAGTAATATTGTTAAATGGTATATTCATCACTTATAATAATGTATTTAGTATTCCATGTTAAATAAATTTGACTGCAAAATACTATTAAATTTAAAATTTATTCAAATATGATGAATGTAAATAATATTATTAAATATTATATTCATTGATTATAATTATTTATTATTCGGTGTATAGCCTATCATATAAATATATTTAATTATTGAATATAAAAAGCCACTGTCATAAATTAACTACCTCAATAAATGCTAAAATCTAAACTTAAAAAAGTTTCTTTTTTTTTATTATTTAGAATAAATGTAGTTTTAAAATTATTTTAAAATAAAAATTTAAATGTAAATTAATATAATACATATAAATTCATAAATATATGTAAATAACGTATTTATGAATTTTTAAGTTTATCCTTACTTAAAATAAACAATTATGTAATATTTTAATTTTAAGTATATATTTAAAAGTATTCTTTTAATCATTCATAGAACGTTTAGCTGTAATAAAATCTATAGATTAAAATAAGTACAAAAACTTAAATGTATATGAACATATTTCTAAATTTATTTATTAAAATTATGAGTTAACAAATTAATCTAAATATTTGTTTATAGAATTTTATTTTATGCATTTAGTTATATAATAAACTGAATTTATTAATTACGAATTGAAGATATTATTTACATTACATATAAATTCATAAATATATGTAAATAACGTATTTATGAACTTTTAAGTTTATCCTTACGTAAAATAAACAATTATGTAATATTTTAATTTTAAGTATATATAAAAATATTCTTTTAATCATTCACATAACGTTTTACTGAAACAAAATCTACAGATTAAAATAAGTTCAAAAACTTAAATGTATATGAACATAATTCTAAATTTATTTTAAAAAATTATGAGTTAACAAATTAGTCTAAATATGTTTTTATAGAATTTTATTTTATGCATTTAGTTATATAATAAACTGAATTTATTAATTACGTGCTAAAGATATTATTTACATATATTTAATTTTTATATACAATTTATAGGATTTATATATAAAAAATAAAGTAAGTCGCATTTTTTTATGCATACCTAATAAATAAAACAGCATATCAATAAAATCAATTTTGTAAATCACCTAGATAAATTGGCGGGAGTTATTTTTATTCATATATATATATATATATACACACACACACACATCAATATAAAATTATTAATGAATATCGTTTTTTTTAAGTATACCCATATAATTTTTATTCATATATATATATATATATATATATATATATATATCGTTTTTTTTTAAGTATACCCATATAATCTTCGTATGTATGGATGCCCAACCTGGGAACTCGACGAAAATAAAATTTAATATAATTTCTTCCCTTCCATCCTTTTTTATCAAACAAAATCTAGTTTTATTTCGAATATATTAGTATTAAATTGAAGCCATAAAAGTAAGTTCCATAAAAAATATTGAAAGGATTTCTTTTAAAAACAATCAATATTGGTATTCAATCTTAACTGAACAGCTTATCTACTTTTATATTTAATTTGAGGATTATTTTTTACCATAAGTATTTTTAGAGTGATTTTAAATGAAATTATTTTTAAAATTTTTTTTATTATATAAAGTAGTTTTTTACATTATTTTTTAATTTAATAAAATTTAAAAATTATTTTACCTTATTACTTTATTTTAATGTATAAAATATTTTAAAATTTAAATAATATATTTACCAATATTCAAATTATGTGAACTTATATATATATATATATATATTATTTTTTTCCTTTTTTCATTCACTGATTAGGCTTTCGAAGTTCTTATTGAGAAGAATAATTCTTAGAGTGAGCTAGATTCTACTCTGACTGAATTTGATTAATTTTGAATGATTAATTTGGCGACCAATCAAATTAGGCTAAAATTATGTTGATGATGCAAGATCCAGTCAACCAGCAATGATGGATCACAAGGCAACAAACATACAAATGTACGTATTGTGACAAAAGTGATTAATGAAATATATTTTGGAAAGCATCTTGTTAATTACGAACATGATTGACTTGTATCAATAAAACATGGTTAATTTCCTTTTGAAAAACTTCCCCCCTTAGAACAAGCCTCATTCAAGTGGTGCCTGGGTTCAACTTAACCATTTCCAGTCATCAACTGAACCATGAACTAAGTGCAGGAACAAAAGGTAATTTTGGAACTTCCCCAAGCGACAAGAACCACTTAGGGATAACGTTGAATCAATTTTGGGTTTCTCATGGTAATGCTTCAGCTTGAAAATAAAAAACAAACATGTTGTCTCCGGTGAGACAGGCCTGGTTCGGAACACATGACTTGTGTTTGCACACAAGAGAATTTGTTTGACTCCCACCCCAAGTGATTCTCATGTGCTGTTAATCATCATGCATATGGCCCCCATGGCAGCACATGTGCACTCATATGTTTTCTTTTTTCTTTTCATTTTCAATATATTTAAAATTTCAACAAATTTTTCATTAATGCTTTTAATATATTTTTTATTTAGAAGAAAGCAAAGAAACAAAAAAAAATTATAATTTCAAAATTACAACACAATAATTTCTTAAAAAGTCACTCACGCTTAATTTGTAAAAATCTGATGCATTAATGCGTTATACGAGATATTAAAAATAAATAATATTATTATTAATGTGCTGAATTTTTTAATTTTTAACAAAAAAATTATTACGTGTACTTTTATTGTATATCTTTAAATATATATTAAAATAATTATTTATTATTATATGCACTAAATGCATTTATTAAAAAATAAAAATAGAATATTTTTATTCAAAATATTATTATATATGTAATTATTTAATATTTATTTTTAAGCAATTAAAAGTATTTAAGAAATTATATTTGATTATGTATTGATGCGTATATTTATTATCGTTATACAAACTACCATTTAATTACTTTATTAGTTAAGCAGGATGCAAATAATTTCTATCAACTAAATTGTACTAAAATAAACATTGTCATTTTAAGAATAAAGCTTGGGCCGATCTGCAACACTTTCGGCAGAACCCAAGTACGCCCGAAAAAAACAAACGGAGGGAAACTTCTGTAAGTCTATGCATTAGTGAAATTATAATTATTCCTATACATTTTGTTATTTAAATAACTAAAATTTGACGCTTAATGTGATATTATATATAATTATTTTTTAATTACTTTTTTTTTTTTGTATATATGCATTCCAAAAAATACACCATAAAAATATCTTGAGGTGTCTACTTGTAGACATTGACATAAAATTTTTCATTATCATAGAGTTTTTTTTTTTGCACGTGCTATTATTATTTAATCAAAATTGAATGTATATGTAAGAATATATGATAAAAATTAATAAATAATAATAAATTATTTAAAATCATTGTATTTAATATTATTATGTAATTTTTAATACATTAAATCCTATAACTTTGAATATATTAAAAAAATTATTTAAGAATGCGAGAATGTGTAAACTGCGAGGACCTAGGGCTACGATAGTAACAAGTGCTAAGCTAGCATTAGAGTTCAGTAGGCACTGTCTGTACGAGGTTTCTTCCTAAATAGATGCTTCTTCAAGCGTTCGAAAATACTGTCATATATTAAATCAAACGGCCCTCCTGCTCTAATGAATGCTACGTGATCACCCTCTACAAGCTTGTAATACCTGTTTCACCGAATACCAAAAATTTATCAGTGCGCAAAATCATTTCTCAGCAGAAAATATACACTGCTATGTATATATAAAAATATCAACAAAAATTTTATATACCAGATGCCCGATTGTAAAGGTTCGCAGTCTGAATCTTGCTCAACCAAGCAGCTGGGATGTTCAATTGGGAAGCGAGGATGAGTCATGGATATTGTGTTTAGTGCTCCATCATTTTCTTGCCAATCTTCATTCCTTCACACCCAATTAAGTTGCATGAGTTCAATTTTTTTAGCTTGTATAGCTTTGCACGTAATTAAAACTTAATAAATAACAATTTTTAGTTAAAATTATAATATTCAATAGCATCAATATAAAAATTATTGTTGTTATTATTATGTAGAATGTTGTATAGACTAATTAAAAATAGCATAATTTTTATCTGCTAAGCTAAGCATCATTAGAAGGTGAAAATAATATCTAATGCATATAGAAACACACATGTAGCCTTCATATGGGGGAGAAATATGTGGTGGATGACGCCACTGGCTCATCTGCAAAACTCTTATGAAAAGCAAAGGGGGAATTCCAAGCATCCATGAATGAACAGTTACACCCATGACTTTCCAAGAACGCTTGGTAGCATAGCTGAAGTAGTATGTGTTTGGAAATGTGTGGAGATGATAGTTGAGTCTTATAGAGCCTTGAATTGTGAGATCGGGGAGGATCCAATCTCCTGAAGCAAATGGACCTGCATTCCCTAATAGGCAATCAACAAGACCCAATATACCCATCTTTTTCCATGACATGTTAAAGTGATCTAAACCAAAATTGTAGCAGTTCTTCAACCGGGAAATGTCAAGCCAATCATAAATTATCACGCCAATGCGCCAAAGTTGTAACAGACAAATAGGTTTCAATGTTCTCCCATCTTCTGGCCTGCAACAAGCTCAAATTGTAGTGACTAGCTTAGCAGTAACATTTTATTATTTAATAATTATGAGTAACTTTTTGGTAATTAGCAAAATGTTGACAAATGTGAGTAAAGAAAATTTTAGCCCATATAATAATTTTGTTATAATTTATAATATCTTAAAATTTAGGTAAGGCAAGTTACTGAAGCTAGTGTATAATCTCCTGAAACAAGCTCCTTGCCAGAGTGTTATTGATATATTTTAATTATGATTTTCCATTTACACCTAATATGATTTTTTTTTAAAATTATTAATTTGTTAACCTTGTTTTAATGGGAAATTTAATATTGTCTTTATCCCATTACTACCTCAGTAATGGAAAAGAAAATATATACATACGCATTTTTCATATACAAGAAAATATTTCAATTTAAAAAGTGAGACGTTTTATTTTTTTGTTTTTTATATACAAGAACAATATGAGCTTAAAATTGACTTTACAACACTTGTTAACAAAATCTGTTTTTTTTCCTTAATCATTTTTTTTTGTAAGACTATTACATTATTTTCCTTCCTCAAAACATTTCAAGCCAATAAGAGTTAAGAAAACTATTCTTTCACGCTCACTTTTTAGCTGCAAAGTGAGTGAAGAAAGAAAGAGATACAGAGAAAAGAAAGAAAACAAAAGATATAATTAAATAATGTGATAAAAATAATGAATGTAAGAATTTGATAGTTAAGTTCAGAAAGCTAAAGTACCGGCCAGTTTTGTGAAGCAAACCATAGGCAAAAAGGGAACAAGAACTCACCGCATGCCATCTATATAGGTCCTTGTAGTCCCATTAAATGCTCCTGAAAGAGATATTACACTTAATATCCAGTTCTCTGAAGTGTTTTCATACCCCTTGAACGCCTGGAGACAATTTGAAAATCAAATTATCTTGTGTTTGAAGGGGGAAATAACAAAATATATGATGACTTGACAAATAACAAGCAACCTTATCAGCAAGCATTTGTTGCAAGACACGAACAACTTGTGCTCCAGCTGAGTGACCAACAAAGTGAACAGGGTGATCCTCGTCCCACTTTGGATACTGCCCTGCATTCCAGTTTACAATTTTACACAAACAAATCTCCCTTTGAGAACGTATCATCTCATGTGAATACATGACATTAACCCTTCACTTAGATGTCAATGTTTCTTTTGTACAGAAATAGTTTTCTAATATGTAACGTGTCTTCGAACCTCGTTGGTAGATTCGTCCAAACTGAGAGTGCCCGCAAGCCTTGCTGTGTTCTTCCTCGTAATCGACTTGGCCACCTTTTAAGTAATAGAACAATTCACGAGCTCTGACACAAAAACTCTCTGTAAATTTTAGTTAAATTAATTTCTATATAATTTATTTTTAATCATTGAATGTAGTTGATATGTTTATTTAAAATAATTTCAAATGCATATTTTACATTCAAACGTGAATTATAGTGTGTGAAATTGATTATTCTTGTAAATTAAACAAGCAGTACACGACTTTTACATAAAAAAGAAAATGTAAAATTCAAATTATAATGACATGTTTTTATAATTTTTTTTGGCGATGATTATAATCTTTTATTATAAAATGATAGTTTGTTCGAAACAATTTTATAATACAACCTTCTGCCGCGCGATATATAAATCTGCAAGTGCTTTACCATAAATATTGTACATTTAAAATTTTTATCGTATAACTCCAATTATATAGATATCATTTATGAATTGTATAAGGAAATTCTAACTTAAAGCATAATAATATTCCAGCATAATGATTTCATAATTTGTTATATATATATATATATATATAGTAAGCGGTATTATGTAAAGTCGTTGAATTTTTTTTACTTATTAAATGACTTTTTATGATATAAACAAACTATATGGTTTTTTATTTTTAGATTTTTAAAAATGTCTTAAGGGTGTATGTACTACATATAAATTATCGAAAAATAGCACCCTTTATTTGTTACTCTAAAAGAAGGCTAGAAAATAAAGAAAAGACAGTATATATTCAAGGGAAAAAATGGAAGGTCAAATAAGAAAGTAAAACAAATATATTTGAAAAATAAAAGCCAAAATTAAGAAAATTATCATGTGATAAATAGGAAAAAAATTAATATATATTATAGATAAATATATGATGGAAGATTAAATAAATAGATAGGAAGTAATAATTAAATATTATGGAATTAAAATAAAAATGGCATGAGGTCATTTATGTTGAACAAATTTAGTATAGATAATAAATAAGTAGGTATACAATATTAAATAAATGAAATAATTACATTTTAAATGAAAAATGTGCTTTTTCTCCATTTAAATGTTATTTAATTTTTTTTAATCAATAAAATAGTGTATTTTTAATCTTTATCAAGAACAAAAATACATTTTTTTTAAGTTTTCAAGAACTTCAAATAAATAAAATATAAATAAGTATTAATTTAAAAAATATCATATTTTAAATATTAGAAACATGCTTAAACCTTAAATAAATAATTAAATTATGAATGGACGTGCATTTGCTAATTATTTTAGCAAAAGTTGTACTGTGGTATTCAGAAAAGAAAAGGAAAAAAATTGGCTCCCTCAATTGGTTTTGGTTGGCCTTTTTTTATGTTCTAGCGTTGTCTAGAGCAAATAACTTACCTATCATAGATACTGGTCAAAGACCCCAAATGAGGGGTGAGAACCCTTTGATCTTTGTGCACTACTTCAGCAAAGTGGGATAAAGCACCTAATCTCTGATAAAGACGATTTTGTCAAAGAAATGGAGGGTATTCAATTATTCATTATTACAAGAAAAAGTGAATTTAAGGCCTAAAGAAGGGGTAAAAACACACTGGGCTCACCCCTTTGCCAAATGACCCAAGTCCAAAATAGCCATGAACCAACACAATAGGAGGTAGATCATCATCATGGCCATGGGTTTCTCTTTCTCCTTTCGGCACTTCCTTTTGGACCTCAACATTTTCAACGTCACCCCGTGAGAGATCTCCAGCAACAATAAATGACCTTAAAAGGTAAAACCCATAAAGTAGAAGAACCAATGAGCTCACAAGTAGCTCCACCAACTCCTGATAATTAATCCATAGTGTGATCATTTTTGTAGGATCAACACCCACAAGATGAATAAAAACAACTAACAAGTTACAAAAACCAAAACACCAAAGCATTCTTTTATCGGCAATAAACCCCCCAAAACAAGCCTGTTTGGTGCAGTTAAAAGAGCTCAATGCAAAAACTGTGTCAACAATTGAAGATTATAATACGCCAAAATTTCCTCTATGCTTCTCTATAAAGCCATATAATACAAGCTTATAAAAATATGACATAGTTACATTGAACTCCTACACCTACTTTGAAAATGGTCTGTTCTCACATTTTCTTCGTTTCTTACCGAATGACCAATCACAAAGGTATAATTTTCTCCAATCTTTAGTTGTCCACAAGAAGAGTTACAACGACTAGTTTACCTTGGCTGTGACACCTTTCATTGCACCAGGGGAATATGCACCCTAAAAACTAGACAACAAAATCGTCGGTCATTCTATTTGGATCAATTTCTAGATAAATAATCACTCAAATCTAATCATAAAAAAAGCTAAAAATTGAACTGAACCGATAATAAATGTAACTTTAAGGGGGAAATGGATCAACGATTTATTCAATTTATATTTTTTGAAATCAATTTAGAAATTTAGAAAAATTCTTGAACACTCTAATTCGAAATCAATAAATTGAAATTGTATACTCCACGGGTACACAATAGCTCGTCTTTCTTTATTCTTCTTTCTTGGGGTAATATTATGATCCGGCTTCAGAATACGTTTATAAAAAATAAATGGTTTGGCTATTATAATTGTGATATTGAAGAGGTTCCGTAGAACAATAGCAATGCTAAAAAATACGTGGCACGTGCCTAGGAAGCTTGAACAATTCATGATATTAATATTAAGAAGATTGTGTACACTATAAAGTTTGTGACAACCTATTGACTAAGGCTTAAAATATCCGAGTCCTACAAATTGCAGAAATGGTATAAAAATAAGGGAAATCGTGGGGTAAAATTTACATTTAGAAAGGTGAAGAAGGGGCATCTAACGGAATGAATGGCCTATTTTTTAATTTTGTTTTTTCATATATCTCTTTTAATTGAATAAGGGAGAGTAAAAAATGTAGAGCTAGTGATGCACTTCATTAGGTAATGTTGGAGGGTTCTTTCTAAATGCGTGCTTCCTACAGCGTTGGAAAATGCTGTCATAGATTAAGTCAAACTGCACTCCGGCTCTCTCCCGATTAATAATGAATAGTATGTGATCACCCTCCACGTACTTGTAGTACCTGTTTCATCAAAATACCATAAATTGAGTACACAATAATTTCTCAACAAATGATACACAGGTCAATTTAAAATAAATAAATCTTAAATTTCAATATTTCACATTACTCAATGGGTAGATTGCAATCAGAATACCCTATCTGGTATGTAAAATAAACTGGTACGAACGGTCCCCTAGTTTTTCTGACTTTACTAATGGAAGGGACTCAAAATTCATTAAAGGAAATGCATAAAAACAAAAATTCAAAAATTAATGGAACATAAGTATAGCGATTAAAAATTTCCAAATATCAGAATATAAATTCGATAGTCTAGTCAATTATCTGATTCTGTCAGCAACATATATCTATTCTTTTTGGGGGATAACATGATATATATATATATATATATATATATATTAATTAAACTTCAATTCAACTAACAAAATGAGGGCACTGTACTACAATAATCTCCTGTTAACCAATTCAATTTGTCCAAACCATACTGTACAATAAAAGCTAGAAAAATGGCAACAATTGGTTAATAAACTTTAATAGTTGTAGACCATATAATTTTATATATAAGGAAATAATGCAAAGCCAAGCTCTAAGGAAGCAGTTTTGATTAAGTTATGTATTACTATTGGACAAAAAGAACAAGATGGTAGTTTTACAGACCAGATGCCAGTTTGTACGGGTTGGCAGTCCGAATCCTTTTCAACCAAGCAATTAGGGTGTTCAATTGGGAGGCGAGGATGAGTCATGGATATTGTATTTAGTGCCCCATCATTGTCTTGCCAGTCCTCATCCCTGCACAAGCAATGACATAATACTTGATTGATTAAGCTTAATCAAAATTACAATTGGGGTATTACCAAAGGAAGGTAAAAATAGTATCTATTGCATATAAGAACCCACCTGTATCCTTTATAAGGAGGAGGAACATCTGAAGGATGGCGCCACTGGCACATCTGCAAAACTCTTACGAAAAGCAAGGGGTGAATTCCAACTATACTTGAAGGAACTGTAAAACCCATGATCTTTGTTGTACGCTTGGTGGCGTAGCTGAAGTAGTATGTGTTTGGAAAAGTATGCAGATGGTAGTTGATTCTTATAGACCCTTGAATTGTAAGATCGGGGAGGATCCAATCTCCTGAAGCAAATGGACCTGCATTCCCCAATAGGCAATCAACAAGATCCCATACACCCATCTTTCTCCATGACATGTTAAAGTGATCAAACCCAAAATTGTAGTAGTTCTTCAGCCAGGAAATGTCAAACCAATCATATATTATCACGCCAATGCGGCAAAGCTGTAGCAGGCAAATAGGTTTCATTGTTCTCCCGTCTTCTGGCCTGAAACAAACTCAAATTGTAGAGACTAGCTTAGCATTCACAGTCTGCTAAATTTACCTAACACATTGGTAATTAGCAAGATATTGATGAATGTAAACAATGGAGAATTTAGGCCATAATTATCGTGCTGTTTGTTGAAAAGCTCACGAAGCAGCACAGCCAGATAAACTTCAAAATGTTTCGTCCCTATTATCATTATTTGTTTTTCATTTCATTTTTATTCCGGTCATTACATGCTCTCTCAAACACTCCATTTCAAGCCTATAATAATAGTAGTTCTAAATTTAAGCATAAAAAAATGCTTATTAGAACTCACTGCATGCCATCTGAGTAGGTTCTTGTAGTCCCATTAAATGCTCCTGATAAGGAAGTGATACTTAATACCCAGTTCTCTGAAGTATCATACCCCTTGAATGCCTAAAGACAAAATGAATATCAAACTATTCAAATTTTGGAAACCAGAATAAATACATAAATAAACAGAAACCTTCATAAGAGAAAACTACATAGATCACTAGGACCAACCTTATCAGCAAGCATTTGTTGCAAGACACGAACAACTTGTGCTCCAGCTGAGTGCCCAACAAAATGAATAGGATGATCCTCGTCCCACTCAGGGTAGTTCCCTGCATCCCAATTACAAACAAAACACATTTTCATAAAATATTAGAAAACTATAAAGGGGGAAAAGGGAAAACAAAACTAAAAGCAACAACAACAAACATAACATAAAGATCTCCGAACCTAGTTCGTAGATTCGTCCAAACTGCGAGTGTCCACAAGCATTGCTGTGCTCTTCACCGTAATCAACTTGTCCACCTTTCAAATAATAGAACAATTCTCGAGCCCTGAGACAATAAAAAAAAAAGAGCTTTTAATTTTGTTGCAAAAACAAAACAAAACCGATGACTTGAACATAAAGACCAAGCTTTTACGCCTCAATAACTCACCTATCATAGACACTAGTTAAAGACCCCAAATCAGGTACAAGAACCCTTTCATCTTTCTTCTCTGCCCCAGCAAAGTACGATAAACCTCCCAATCTCTAAGAAAACAACATGGCAAACATAAATCAACCACCCAGAGAGTAATGGAACGACATCCATCATAAAACACCGAAACTGACAATTAAAACAACGAAAAGAAAAACAATAAGACTCACCCCTTTGCCAAATCCAAAAATTCCATGAACCAACACAATAGGAGGCAGATCATTAGCATTGGCTTCTCTTCCACCCCCTTTGACCTCAGGATTCACATTAGGCTTGTGAAAATATTCATTGAGCACCTGTGAGAGATCTCCAGCAACAGCAGAGCTAAATATGTAAAACCCATAAAGCAAATGAACCAACGAGCTCACAAACAGCTCCACCAATTGCAGATACGAAATCCATAATCTGATCATTTTCTCCCTTCTTTTTACAAAATCAACGGCCTCTTCCCGAACGCGCAAGAGCCTTCTTTAGCCTCAAAAAGAGAAAACCGCAAAAGAAGGCTCCTTGCAGCAGTTTAAAGGGTTAAAATCCAAAATCGTTTCAACCCCTGAAACATACAGAGACGCACCCTTTTACATAAATATAACATTAATTTTCATCATAGTTGAAACCGTATACAAGGAAAAATGGGGACTCCAGAAAGGCCCAAGAGGGTTTCTTCTTAAGCTTTATATTTATATATACACGGATTTGCTTGCTTCAGACTTTGAATGAAAGCTTTTCCCACAATTTCTTCGTTTTCTACCTCACAATTGGCTCACCCTTTCTCTATTCTTTATTTGTCCATGTGGCTGAGAAAACTAGAAGAATATTTATAAACAATTTTATTAAAATTAAATATATAAAATTTTAAAAAATTGAATCCCGAAAAAGAAGGGGCCGGTTTGGGAGCATGACACTCGTCCTTGGGGTGCTGTGCATACCAAAATAGTCAATGTGGCACCATTAAATTGAACAGAATCTATATCCAAAATAAAACCAAATATTCGGCTATAAACTAGGGTAAAAAAATGGACAATTAAAAATAGAAAAAGTAGGTGAACTTTTGTTGGGTGAATTTGAACGTGTGGTATTGTGTTAATTGAGCTTCTAGGCGTTTCTTTCCAGGTGGTGTGCTGTAACAGCTGGAAGATTCGTAGCTTCAAACCAACCTTCAACTGTATTCATCTTATCCATTCAGTGTTGGAATTGAGCGTTCCACCCCAAACAACAAAATCAAGTCAAATATTGTAGTAATAAATGCATGTTGTTGGCTGGTTGTTGGCTATTCCACTCCCAACGCGCTTTCAGGATTGTGGATTGGCACATTATTAGAACGTGTGAGTTTTACCAGGTATTATTGGACCTCGGGATGGGATGGGATGGAATTTGATGGATATTCAACACATCTTATCGAATGAAAATATATGTATATAATTATTGTTTTAAAGATTATAGTTAAAATCAAACATTTGATTTTAGTATCCCTTCAGAGATGTTGAACTACAAATAGACCGACAAATAGAGCGTAGCATACACGACTTCAACAAAAAGGTTGGTCATTTTGGGCATATCGATGTGATGATTGAGTAGCACATGCATGTTCCGTGTTATTTCTATGGACTACAATTAATAAACAATTAAACATTAGCTCCCTTTTACAAAAGGAGGAAAGAAATGAGCACCCATCTTATTCAAATTGTGGAAGTTTCGAAGATTTTGACTTGAGTTGCTGCATAAACTAAGTTGATTAGCATCTTAAACATCGAAGACATTATTCTATTACTTATTACACGTTTGATTTTATTCTTATTTCAATCGTTAACATAGTGTTACTCGCACCTGTTGACGTTTGAATTTTAATACATTAGAAAATTAGTTTTAGGTTATCAATTTTGACATATCTTGGCTATTGATTTTTGTCAACAGCTCAAATTAAGGGACAAGATTCCCACTTACAAAATTATAATAAATCTACTTTTTCTAAACCTAAATATTTTTTACACATACAAATATGGTGTATCATATTTCTTTGAAATTTTGAAGAATGTATCTCTTAAAATTAGTTTTGTGGTTTGAGGCAAGTCACCTATCACTATTTGTGATGGGAGGTTTTTTACCTTCAAGCATTTTAATCAATACACAACTTTGTTAAGTTGAGCATTTACGAAAATACGAGATAAGTCTATCACTGTGTGAATGATATTAGAGTAGTGTGCACATGGCATTGTGGCTTAATGATCAGTTTTACGAATTAAATAAAGTTTTATATGAAAAAATAAAAGTCATTCATATTAGAAAAAAAAATTATAACTCTAAATTTTTTAAAAAAGGAAATAATTATTTGTGTACAACTCAAAAATCACAAGTAATAATTATGCACGAAAAACTCAAAATATAAACAACATATAACTTTAAAATAAAGACAAATTTAATAAAGTCAAAATAGATAAAATAACTAGTACAAAAATTAGTGTAAAGTTACATCAAGAAAGTTAACTTGAAAAATAGTAAAAATGCATGTAAATTACTTTTATTGATATTTGTTAATATCAATAAATTTTACTCTAATATTTAAAAAAAATGTTACTTTTATTGATTCATATGGTGATATGTTTAAATTTTAAATCCTCGTTTAAAGTTTATCGTGCATGCTTATGTAATGACCATTGTAGAATCAAATATGGAAAAGTCTATGTTAATATATTGCATCTAGTTAGATTAAGTGGTAACCAACACAACTTGTTCTGTTGCATAAACAGAGTTATGCAAGCATCTTAAATACTAAATACAATCATTGGCTACTTACTACTCATTACACATTTGATTTAGTTCTCGTTCTAATTTCAAACATAACGTTTCAGGTTTGTTAACAGTTTAATTTCAATACATGAAAATAATTTGATTTTAGTTTATAAATTTGACCTATTTTTTGTATACTAATAATGATCATCAGTAACTATTTATGGGAAAAAATAATAATTTGTAAACAACTTGCTTTGTTGCACAAACAGAGTTGTGCAAACATCTTAAATATCAAAGACAATCATCGGCTACTCACTACTCATTATACATTTGATTTAATTCTTATTCTAATCTCTAACATAACGCTTCATGTCCATTGACAGTTTAATTTCAATGCATGAAAATAATTTGATTTTAGTTTACGAATTTGACCTATTTTTTGTATACTAATAATGGTCATCAGTAACTGTTTATGGTAAAAAATGATAATTTGTAAACAAATAATCCAAGAGCAATATAGGAACTGGTTAAGTTCACTTTAAGTTCTTTTAAGTGTGTTGTTAATTGTAACAATAAAATGGACATCGCAAAATCAATAATTTAGCATGAATGGTGAATATGAAATATGTAAAATTGAGTCAAACATGAAGGTTTTTATAATAAAACATACCAAATAGAATCTAAATTACAAAAAAGAAGCAAAACGAACTAGAATTAAAGTGTGAAAAGGTAAATGTGCAGGTAAATAAACATACGACTCCTTAGCAACAACGAATAATGACAACTGTGTGCCTCCAGAGAGCAAGTGTCTGGCGCGGTGCAGGGTTTCAGCGTGAACCTCCAAAGAGCTAGTGTCTGGCGCGATGCAGGGTTTCAGCGTGAAGAGATTTTTAGGTGCGGTGTCTGGGTGCAAAAAGTCATCCCCTGGAAAATGAAATTTTCAGGTTTTTATAGGCAGGCGGATCACCACCATCCACCTTCTTTTGAGGGCACTTTCTTAGTAACTATCTTTGTGCGTGCTTACTTCCAACCGCTGCTGCCCATTATCCACGTTTGCTTAATCGTGCTGGTGGTTGAGGCTCTTTCTATAACTGTTGTTGCCCACGATCTTTCTTCATGTTATTGAACCTTCGTCTGGTGGTAACTGCTGATAACTGTTGGCAATTGCTCTTGAACGTTACAATAACCTCCTCTTGACTTCTCTTTTCGACTAATTATGGGAGTTTGAGAGCTTATCTTGGCTTCGTGGACTTCAAATACTTTCTCTAATCATTCCTATTTTTCTCAAGCAATTATGGAGGGAATATGGAGCTCAACCAGTATTTGTGGACTTAGAATATTTTATGCTTTTTGGTTTTTGAGAATATTTTATGTTTCCTAATTTTTGAGCAATTCTGAAAAAGATCTAGAGCTCTTGTCAGGTTTGTGGGCTTAAAATGTTTTTTGGCCATTTTTGTTTTTCAAGCAATTTTGTGTTGCTAGGGACATAAAAACTCTCAAAAACTCCTCGAAGAGACTTTCAGTCCTATGAACTTAGAATATTTTTTGGTTATTCCTGTTTTTCAAGCAGTTTTAGGTGTAAGAAACCTGAGGGCTACTCAAAAACTTCTCAAAAATTCCTCTAGTCTAGTGGGCTTAGAATAATTTCTAATTGTTTTCATTTTTTGAGCAGTTTTGGCTATTCTTAAACATATATATAAATGATGTGAATGTATATTGGAGTTTGCACTTGAGCGTGTGATGAACTTTGAATGCTGGTGTGTATAAATGCTTAGGGACGCGTATAAATATACTTGTATATGATTGGATTGAATTGATTGAGCTGAAAAACAGGTTAAGAGTGTAATTCTGGGGCATTCTCACTGTAGCAAGAGGGCTCTGGGAAGAAGGCGTGAAGCTGTTGCCTTCTCGCTACAGCGAGAAGTCCCTCACTGTAGCGACAAAGCGACAGTTTGTAGTGCATTTTTGGGTGCAGTCTCGCTGTAGTGAGATTCTAGAGAAACCATGCAATTTCCTCTGAGATTTTCGCTGTAACGAGAGAAAGTGTTGCTGTAACGAGGTTCTCGCTATAGTAAGAGTGACACGACCAGAAGAGGATTTAAAAGGGTTAGGGTTTAGGGAAGTTTCATTTCTCACTTTTCCTTCGAGATTTCTTCTATTCTTTCACTCCCAAACCCTATTTCACCGATTAAATTACCTCTAAGCCGCTTAGGAGCAAGATTGGAGGTTGAATTTGTGAAGGGAATGCTTGAATGTGAGTTTTAATGGTTAAGGTTTCAGTTTCTCATCCCCATCCTCTGATTTCTCGATTTTCTTGGATTCTCATGGGGTTCTTCCCTGTATTTAGGACAAAGTTCGTGTGGAGGAGCGCCTACCTTGTTGTTTTGGTGTGTGGGTCTTCATTTGAGGTAAGAGAGGGACTCTACCCTATCTCATTTTCCTTGAAAACCTGTTTATTCACTATGTTTTGTAATGTGATTGAGATAGGATGTGTGGACTGATGTATTTTGATAGATAATGTGTGGTGGGTATGATTGTGATGATTTGAAAGTTGACTTTGAGTGAATTTTTATCAAGAATTGATGATTGAATATGGATGACATGTTGAAATGTTGTGTATGGAATGGGCATGTGTGTCATGTGTGGTGAATGAATGTGGGCCAGTGGGCCGTATACTATGAATGAATGTGGGCACTTGTGCCGTGTGTGTGAAATTGGAATGTGTGTGAATGGGGCGTGTAAATGTTGTTGTAATGATGTTATGAATGGTTTAGCGATACACTAGAGGTGTGAAAGATGTGGACGGTAGAAATACCTTGAGGAAGAGAGAGTGGTGGTGACACTAACAGTGCGCGTGGGTGCACCACATGCCACACACTTTCCTCCTGACTAGACATCTAACCACTACCTTTGCTGAGCGACCCATGATTGCCCACGCAGTATTCGTGAGGCGGGAGTAACCGACGACCATTCATAGTGTAAAACTGTGATCACAGTGTCACAATGAGCGTGGCTATGTGCGGTAAGTGCATGTGTGTGAAATGTTGGTGCAGTGAGTGCATCAGTTGTGTTTTGAATTTGAATAGATGATGAATAATGATTGTGACTGTGATTGATATGCTTGCCTTGTGAATGCATGATTTAACGATGTTAGTAAATGTGTAGTATTTGAGGTGAGTCTTTATATTTATGTGTGTTAGATAGTGTAAAGTACTTACCCTTACATTTATTTTTCAGGTGACCAAGACGATCAGC